CTGGCGAAAGGAGGTCTCGTGGTTAAGTCTGACATGACCGGGGTAGGAAGAGCAATAATATCAGGGGGGGCTTGGTTAGTGGAGGTCAGGCGGTGAATATTCAGCCGGTTGATGGAGACTCCCACAGGGCAGGTAGTTGTGCGTGTGTCCTAGCAGCGAGCTGTGTTCGGAAATCAAAGGGAAAGACAAGAGGTAGGGAGGGCTGCTCGGGGCCTTATAGGGACAGCTCCTTACAGGGCCCTTTGCCTTGGGGTCCTTGGTCCTGTGGCTCTAGACATGTCATCCAGCCGGTCACTCTGCTGGTCTAGACAGGGCATATGACTCACATTCATACCTCGGGGTCCTTGACTCAGTCACCTTGGCAGCCCTGTCCTTCCTCCTGATGCTCACTGATTGTATTCCCTGCCTCCCGGCTCTGAAAGCCGTGCGTGCTCGTTACAGGGGACTCGGAAAATGTAGAGAAGTATAAAGAAGAAAACAAGGGGGTCGTGCCCGTGATCAATAAGGACACCCCCTGCCAGGCACCCACATGCTCGGCCGGCTCCGGACAGCCAGCCCTCCAGAGACTGTGAGACCAGCAAGGGCTGCGCTAGAGCCAGGGGAGGTGGCTAGTTCAGGGGGACTTTCCTTGCAGGCTCTTCAGAACCTTGCTGGGCCACCCCCAGCTCCCAGGCAGATAGCATCTCTCCAGTCCACCTGGTGTAGGGCCTGTTTCCGAGGGAACATCGGACCCGCACGGCGCACTCCATCCTCCAGGCTCCTTCCTTTCTGGAGTCCATTCCGATCTAGGGCGTGTTTGCCGAGGGCTGAGGACACGGTGGCCCTGGGTTTGGGCGCGTGCACAGTCCGTCTCACTCCCTCACCGACAGATCAGTGTTCGGTGTGGGTCTCTTAACAGGTGGTTCGTCTCTGTCCATGGCAGGTCCAGAGTTTTTCCTAAAATCTCAGGGTGCTTGCTTAGTGTGGAACTTGGTTACGCTTGACCAGGCTGCTGAGCTGGTAGGCAACATGGGTAGCGACTAGAACCTCAGACCTCTGGTTAGGGAGCCCCCTGCTCCCTAACACAGCAGGACCCGTGGCCAGCTCAACATCTCCAAGTCTTTCAGTTCTTTGCCTGTAGCTTAAAAGAGAGAACCTAGCCCTGGTTGGGTGGCTGAGTTGGTTGGAGCATTGTTCTGAGCACCAAAAAGTTGCAGATTTGATCCCCGGTTGGGACGTGTAAGGGAGGCAATCAGTCAGTGTTTCTCACACTGATGTGTGTGTCTCTCTCTCTCCCTCTCTCTCTCTCTCTGTCTCTCCCCGCCCCCACTTCCCCTCCCCTTCCCACCCTCTCTCTCTCTCAAATCAATAAACATATCCTCGGGTGACAATTTTTTTTAAGTTTTTTAAAAGAGAGAGAACGTAAAAGGCTGTTTTGAGTTGAGGCCCAAATGAAACACAAGAGGACTTTAAAAACCCTAAGCCCCGATGTCGTAGTCTGTTGTTCTGTGGAGTCCTGTGTGTGGGCCTGGTCCCTGGCACACACCTGGACGTGAGACGTGCGGTGGTGTCTGCCTGGGCCACGAGCAGGACCGACTTCTCAACGGCAGTGCCCGAGGGGGTTCCTCTGTAACTTTGAGTCACTTTCCAGATAAACAACCCAGATATGCGCGTGCAGATCCTCAAAGATTACGTCAAACAGCACTTCCCCGCCACCCCGCTGCTCGACTACGCGCTGGAAGTGGAAAAGATCACCACCTCGAAGGTAAGCGTGTCCCTGACTCCTGAGTCACAGCTTCGGGTGAATTGCTTCGGGGAAATGAGACAGCCAGCTTACCCGTTGGCTGTGTAGCTACAATTCAACCTGGTTTTCTGGACGTTTTATTTCTGATACCTAACTAAGTTCAGCAGATAAATGCGAAGGGTCACCCGGGTGTGCCCAGTCCTTCGCTAGACATTGAGGACTGAACTCAGTAAGACGGTCTCTGCTGACCAGCTGGGATGTGCTGGTGGGAGATTTTGAGAGGTGGTCAGAGTGTGGAGTGTAATAGGACTGGTGATGACTTATAAGGGAGAAAATGAGAAGTCCGGAAGAATGCTTTGAATGTCTTTGCCTTCCCAGAAACCAAATCTGATCCTGAACGTAGACGGTTTCATCGGAGTCGCCTTTGTAGACATGCTCCGAAACTGCGGGTCCTTCACCCGGTGAGCTCCACGGCCCTGTCACGCTTCTTCGGAACCGGGACTGGTTTTTGTGGTTCCCTCCCAGCCCTCATAGCAGTGCACTGTCGAGCATTTAGGAAACTGGGAGGGGTGTAAAAAGAACAAAAATTGCCTCTCCCACCACCCAGAACACCCCTCTGTCCTGCACTTGGAAGTCAGAGAGAGCTGGTTTGGTCGTGCTGTGCAAGGGAGAGGGTGGCCGTGCGAGCCGTTGTAAAACTGCACGTCGGTTGTGTGTTGCAGGGAGGAAGCTGATGAGTATATTGACATCGGAGCCCTCAACGGCATCTTTGTGCTGGGAAGGAGTATGGGCTTCATCGGTGAGTTCACTGTTACTGTCTTCAGGGTTTCATTAGGGTGGGTTTTTTACCCCCTGGTCCAGCTACACCACTTAACTCATGTGCGTTCTTCAAACGAGGCATCACATCGACTTCATCTTTATTCCTAATCCTTCCTTTCTTACTTCCACTTCCCCCCTTGCCTTGGTTCCTTTGTCCTTCGAGATGACTTCTATTGCGAACCCAACAAAATACAATTGATTCCCACACTTCCCTTTTTTACCAAGCCTGGCACCTGCCTGTGGAATGGGTCTGGATTCACTTCCCCATTTCTTTGTATCTCCTTTTTGTATTGAGAAAGATTTCCCTCTCTCATCCTTTTTCCTTCACTGAACTTGAACAAATTCACAAACTCTTAATAAAAAAAATGCATTTGCTCCATTTTAGGGCACTATCTTGATCAGAAGAGGCTGAAGCAGGGCCTGTATCGTCACCCATGGGATGACATTTCGTATGTTCTCCCGGAACACATGAGCATGTAACTGAGCCAGCAACCCCGCCGCGGTAAAGTGAAGGCGACTCCTCCCTCGGGAAGTGGCGTGCAGACAGCTGGCACTGGAGCTTTCTGTAGGGTGGGCCTGGCGTGTGAACCGCCGCTGGTGGGCAGGCTCTGGAGCCCAGCACCCACAGGCTAACACACACGCAGAAGCTTACTTCTTTTTTTTTTTTATAAGCGTAGAAATAAAAACCAAGCCAATACTTGTGACATTTGCTCTGCTACTTGCTGTATTTATTACATAAAAGCATCTAAGCACTGTCAGGATAGTGTTTTTCCTCGTTGTAGGGCTTTCTGATGTTGCTTTCTTTTTTCCATTAGTTAAAATTTTTTTTCCTTGACAGAAGGGAATGAAACTTTTAAGACCTCAAGATATTATACACTTAAAGCACCCCTGATGTCTTGTTTTTCCACTTCCCTTTTTCCTGCTCATATAACATAAAGAGCATCGTATTAATCCGATCTGTTTATGATCTATCTGTTTGTATGTTCTGTGTTAAGGGTTTGTTTGGTATCTCACTGAAATGTTCCATGTTGCAGACCAAAGTCTGCTTACGTCAGGGGGTTGAGACCATTGAATCCTTAGCTCTTGTCACAAAATATGTGGAGTAGTAATTTAAAATGTAAAGTTGTAACATACATATGTTTAAAATGGAAACACAAAGCAAAAAGCTGTGAAATGTCTTGAGTCTTATGTTCTGTGTGTTCATGCAACTGACTTGTCTTGTCTCTTCCTGAAGTTGTGGGTCCAAGGACTCCTCTCCAGCCAGTTTGCATCTGTGATCCAGAAAGATTCCGGGCAGCTGCCACCTCAGTCTCTTCTCTGTATTATCATAGTTTGGTTTGAATAAACTATATAGTAACAGTAATACCGACTGCTGTCTCATGTCATACACACCCCTTCATCTCTGTTCCCCTGAACTGTACTTTCTAATTTTACTACATGTAGTTTTTAAAAAGTTAATCTACCTCTTTATTTTTAAGGGATTAAAACACTATTTCCAAAAACAAAACACCCACCCCTACATCTGCACCCCCACTCTTTCTCAGTGAGTGGGAACCAAAGCTCTACCCACTGGATAACTCGAGCCAACAACTCAGGAGTCCTGTACTTCTCTGTCGGGTTGACAAATCCTGTCAATCTATCCTGTTTAAAAATAGTTTAAGTATAACTGGCATTAGTTTCAGGCATATGACATAATTTGACATTTGTATACACAGTGAAATAATCACCACAATAAGTATAGTTATCATTCAGTTTCCCCTTTATTTATTCCTCTGATGGGTCCCTATCTGGTGTGCTAACTTGTGCCCCTAGTTCTGCTTTTGACCTCTCACAGTCCATTCTCCATGCAGCCACCGGTGATGTTTTTAAAAACATCTGATGCACTTGCTTTAAACCCAAAAGTGGCTTTTGGTCATCTTTTTAAGGAGTAAACGGAACGGTGTAGCTATGGGTCAAGCACTACAAAACATCAAGCATCTCATTTAATTCTCCCAGCCATCTTCCAAGATACATGATATTACCGTTCTCAGAAGACAATGAATTTACAGATAATAGGTAACCTGCACACCCTCATTCATGAGTTGCGTTCCCAACTTATCCATAAGTTGGGGCTCAGTCTGAAACCTTTCAGAAATTTACTCCAAAGCCATTTAAACCTTTACATAAAAATTCTACGTTGCCACCCAAGACACGAACAATGGGTGATGGTCTACAGTGGCTTTTTACAAAATGCCCACGATGAAGAGAATGCTACTCAACGTTAGGAAGACAGGCCATTGCCCACTGACAGTGGGTAGCAGACCTCAGGACGAGAGCTAAGTGGTAGTCAGCTTACCCAACGTGGGACCGAGTCGGGCGGGCGCGGTGGCGCATGCGCAGACCCCTCTGCCGGCTGGCCCCGCCCAGCGTCCACTATTTATTCCCAGAATTCCTCTGTGTCGCCCCACAACGGCTGGACCGTTCAGAGACTGCGGCGGCCCGGCGCGGCAGCGTCAAGATGGCGGCTGCGGCAGTAGCGGCGGCGGCCGCAGCAGCCGCAGCAGCATCTCTGCAGGTCCTGGAGATGGAGAACATGGAAACAGCTGCCGCCGGCTCCGCGGGGCTGGCCGCCGAAGTCAGGGGCAGCGGGACGGTGGACTTCGGGCCCGGGCCCTGCTTATCTGTCATGGAGGCGAGCGGGGGCGATCCGGGCCCCGAGGCCGAGGATTTCGAGTGCAGCTCTCACTGCTCAGAGCTGTCGTGGAGGCAGAACGAGCAGCGGCGCCAGGGCCTCTTCTGCGACATTACCTTGTGCTTCGGCGGTGCCGGAGGCCGCGAGTTCCGTGCCCACCGTTCGGTGCTGGCCGCGGCCACCGAGTATTTCACGCCCCTGCTGTCGGGTCAATTCTCTGAGTCCCGCTCAGGCCGAGTGGAGATGCGCAAGTGGAGCTCCGAGCCTGGACCCGAACCCGACACCGTGGAAGCCGTTATCGAATACATGTACACCGGACGCATCCGCGTCAGCACGGGCAGTGTGCACGAGGTGCTGGAGTTGGCCGACAGGTAGGCAGGGGGACTTAAGTGACGCAGGGGAGGTGAGAGGTGGTGACGCTGGCCTCCCTCCCGAGGTCCGCAACCAGGGACAGCGCAGGTTGGGAGGGCAGTGCCTACGGGTGGGCTTGAGTGAACCCTGAGACACTGGATTCGTTTGATTCTGAGTGCCTGCTGTGTGGCGGCTTCAGCGCTGGACGCTGAGGATGCAGCCGGCCAGTCCAGTGAGGGCCACTTGCCCTGGCAGAACTCAGATTCCAGATGGAGGAACAAAGGCAATGGAAAACAAAGCCCCCCATCTTCTAAGTGTGGTGTTGACGTTAAAAAGGGATGAAAGGTGGGGCAGGGGATGAAAGGATACTGACCGGTTAGAGGAAATACCTTTCTGAGTAGGTGACGCTTAAACCGACCTCTGTACGGCAAAGATGGGGAATGAACATTCCAGGCAAATACCGCAGAGGCCCTCAGGCAAGATCGAGCTTGGCGCAGAGAACTAAAGAAAAAAATCAGTGGGGCTGAAACAGTGGGTGAGGGAGAGAAGGGTGTGTGAAATGCGTTGGTATAAGAGATTTGGATTTTCTGGGTGATGGGAAGCTGGGTAAAGAAGTTATCTGATTTAATTTTTTTAGGATTTTATTTATTTATTTTCAGAGAGAGAGGAAGTGAGGGAGAAGAGAGGGAGAGAAACATCGATGTGTGATTGCCTCTCACATGCTCCCAACCTGGCCCGCAACCCAGGCATGTGCCCTGACTGGGAATCAAACCAGTGACCCTTTGGTTCGCAGGCCCAAGTTCAATCCACTGAGCCACACCAGCCAGGGCTGATTTAAATCTTTTTAAAGATTACTCTGCTGCTGTGGAAAATGGATTGTAGGGGGCAGGGAGGAATGCCCCAGAAACTGGTTAGGAGGCAGGTGAATGCCATTTATAGAGATGGGAGGAGCCTGCTTGGGCAGCATTATGTTTCAGATACAGTATTTTAACAAATACCTATTGAGGACCTATTATACACCTGAGCCGACACTGGGTTCTAAGGTGCTGGGAGTTGAACGGTGAACAAAACAGACAGAAAGGCCCTTTCCTCATTGCACTTGCATTGGGAGATGGACAATAAATGAGATAGCACATCAGGTGATTGTCATGGCTATGATGAAAGATAGAACGTGACATACAGAAACTGCTGGTGGAGCCCTGGCTGGTGTAGCTCAGTGGATTGAACTTGGGCTTGTGAACCAAAGGGTCACTGGTTTGATTCCCAGTCAGGGTACATCCCTGGGTTGCAGGCCAGGTCCCCAGTAGGAGGGCATGTGAGAGGCAACCACACATTGATGTTTCTCTACTCTTTCTCCCTTTCTTTCTCTCTAATGAATATAAATGAATAAAATCTTTTTAAAAATGCTGGTGGAGAGAAACTTTTTTTTTACAGTGAATAGACAATCCTTACAAAGAGGACGTTTTGCAAAAAACCAAAGGAGGCAAGGTGAATCGGTGTTTCATGCGGGGACAGAGGTGTAAAGGCCCCGAGGTGGGGCTTGTCTGGGTGGTGAAGAATAGCAGGAGGCCACTGTGGCCGGATCAAAGGGATGGGGAAGGAGAGCAGGAGAGGCCTCCGTGTGGTGATGGGAATGGACCCGGATCCCAAGGGCCTTGTCGGCCTGTGGCAGGACTTGAACTCTTACTGTGCATGAGATGGGAAGCTTTGAGGCAGAGGGATGATGCAGTACAATTTGAAGAATTCTGCTTGTTGAAAAAAGAAGGGGGCCGCGGGGAAGGGGCCGCGCTCGGGGAGACGCAGAGAGCCCAGGTCCGGAAGTTGCTGCGTTGGTGGCGGAGACTTGGATCGAGGAGAGAGAGGAGTAAAGGTGATGACAAGTGTTTCAGTCCTGTCTGCATTTTGAAGACAGGAGGAGATGAATTTGCTGATGGATGGATTAGATGTGGGGTATGAGGGAAAAGCTGCTAGTTTTTGGCCCAAGTGGTTGGAAAGTTGGAGTTGTTATTTAACATGTGGAAGACTGCAGGAAAGCAAGTTTGGGAGGGAGATCAGGAGTTTGGTTTGGGTCCAGATGTCTGAGTAGCGGGTGGATATTAGCGCACTGGGAGCTAGAGATTGGGAGGGAATTAGCGGATAGATGATCATTAAAGCTGTGGGATTGGATGGAATTTCTTAGGAAGAGCGTGTGTGTAAAGAAGCGAAGGGGCAGGACTGAGCCCCCGGGTTCTCCAGAACGTCAGAGAGGAACCAGCAGAGGAGACTCATCCCACGAAACCTAGAAAGGAAGGGTGTCCGGGAGGGAGCAGCCAGCCCTGTCAGCCCCGTCAGTCATAAATGGTCATTGACATCAGCGATGGGTCCTTGATGGCATTCGTTGACAAGAACCATTTAAAAATTTTTTAAAATTTATTGTTGTTGTGGTCTTTTTTAGAAGAAGGAAGAGAAAGACATTAATTTGTTGTTTCACTTATTTATGCATTCATTGGTTCATTTTTTTTTTAAAGATGTTATTTATTTTTTAGAGAGGGGAAGGGAGAGAAACATTGATTGATCGGTTGCCTTTTGCATGTCTCCGATGAGGGGGGACCTGGCCCGCAACCAAGGCATGTGCCCCGACCAGGAATTGAACCCATGAGCCCTCAGTTGGCAGGCTGGTACTCAACCCACTGAGCTATACTAGCCAGGGCCACTGGTTGATTCTTCTGTGTGTCTTGACCTGGAATCAAACCTACAGCTTTGGCATAGCAGACAACACTTCTAACCAACTGAGCTACCCTGTCAGGGCTTTTTTAAAATACATTTTTAAATTGATTTTAGAGAGAAGAGAGGGAGAGAAAAAGGTCAATTTGTTATTCAACTCAGTTATGCATTCATTGGTTGATTTTTGTATGTGCCCTGATGGGGCTGAAACCCCAAACCTTGGCTTATCGGGAGGACACTAACCATCTGACCTACCCAGACAGGGACAAGAGCCATTTAGATTAGGTCTTGCTGCAAAGAGGGTAAGAAAAATGATATACACGGAAATGTTTGGGGAGGAGTCCAGGGGGGTCTTTTTTCTCCCTCTCAGAGATGGAGGGTATTAGAGCATGTTTGTGTGCTGATGAAAAATGAATCAGTAAAAGAGGAGAAATTGATGTTACAGGAGTGGGGAAATAATTGCAGGAGCAAAGTCCTTGAAACCAAGAAGGGGGTAGAAGCCATATTAAAAGAGGACGCGTTGGACTGGGGAGGCAGGGTTAGGATAAAGCTGTGGGCAGCTTGGGCGGTGGGACGATGAAGCTTCCGCCTGATGGCTTCCCTTTCCTCAAAGTAGTGTGGGGCCGGGCAGTCCATTGGGGGGGGGGGGCGGCAGGTACAGATCTGAGGGGGCTGCGGAGGAGGGTGAACAACAGTGGGTATCCAAGGCTCACTGCATTCACTCATGTTGTGTTTGCTTCTGTCAGTGAGCGGGTGTTTTCCAGATTTTTCTCTGCTTTACTGGGGAGTCGGGGGTGAGGGGGAGGAGAAAACACCCCAGGCAATTTACTTAAAATTCTAACTCCTCTCCATCTGTCAGCTGCCGAGCAGCTGCCTTGTGTTGAGCACTGTTCACAGTGCCTGGCCGGCATCACATCTGATCTAATCAGCTCTGGGGCAGGATCCCTCTCCCTACCCACCCCCCAGTTACTCTGTTGGTCATACCTACCTTGCAGGGGACTTACAATGTAAATAACAGGAAGTGCAGTATATGATGCCCATCACATGGCAAATACCTCGTATATGCTATTGTTTTCATGGAACATTGTTTCCAAACACTTGTCCAAGGGGGTATCTATTAGAATTACCTGGAGTGCCTGACAAATAGAGGAGCTGGAGGAGGGGTTGGAGCCTGGGAACCTAGGGACCCTGCACCCAGGCATGTTTGAGAGCCACTAGAGCTCTCACCACTCCACCATGTCTCTGCCTTATGTCTAAGATGGTATCTTCCCTGAAGAGGAGGAAGGGGGCCTGTCTTAACCATCTTTATGTCATTGTAAGATAGCATCATTCATGGTCATTGGCAGGAATTCAAAGCCAACAGGACTCCCCAGTTTGGGGTGCGGTGAAGAAGAAAACTATTCAGTGCTAAACAGCTCTGCTGTGCTACAGCACAGCTGTGAACACAGCGAGGGCTGTGCAACAGCTCACTTGCCATACAGCGCGGCTGTGAGCCGTGGGGCCAGGCCCCTTTCCAAATAGACAGCTCTGCTCCCTGATGGTCTGCTTTGTGCTGCTCTAGTCTGATCCTTTCTGAGCAGCTCCTGGGCTGATGCTTTCTGAGCTGCCGTTTAGTGAGACATCTTTGGTGTTTCAGCTCAGCCAAGGACACGCGGGTTCCAGTGGGAAAGGAAAGGAAAGTGTGCGCTCAGAGTGGGAAGGAAGCTGGCTTATATGGACAGAAGTCCCTGTCTCTGGTCCCTGATTGATCTATCTTCATGCAAATGAAGACTTCAAATCTTCACAGTTTAATTGGTCCAAAAGACACTGTCCTGATTGGTCAGAATGGAGCCATCCTGGTGGCTGGACCCGCATGGTTCTGATTGGATGGGGAATGCCTCAGTCCTATTGGTTGACAGAGGATTCCAGGAACTCCTTTATAATGGCTGGCTCGGGTGGCAGAAACACTGGGCAGGCCTCTCCCTCAAGTGCACTTTGTGTGAGAGGCTCCTGTGTAGAAACGGCTGCTAGGCTCTGTTTTAAAAATTTTAGCCCAGTTAGCCACCAGGAGCCTTCTCTTAGTGTGTATTGTCTGTTTCTGGGTTCACAATAGTTGTGATAACCATAATAACAAGTGGTTACTGAATTAGAGAGGCCTGAACTGATAACGTCACCCTCAAGGTTCTCAGTGCTGGGGACTGGCTCTTTTTGAAGACGTGGTCACAGATTGACTACTGAATTCTGCCGTATTGAAAGGTTTGGCCAAAGCTGTTGGTGAGTTTTTTTCTTTTCTTTCTTTTTTTTTCATTATTTATTTATTTATTTATTTATTTATTTATTTTAAATGTTATGAGGTAACATAGTTGTTGTTTTTAAGATTTTATTTATTTCTAGAGAGGGAAGGGGGGGTAGAGAGAGAGAGAGAGAAAGAGAGAAACATCAATGTGTGGTTGCTGGGGGTCACGGCCTGCAACCCAGGCATGTGCCCTGACTGGGAATCGAGCCTGTGATGCTTTGGTTCGCAGCCCACGCTCAATCCACTGAGCTATGCCAGCCAGGTCTTTCTTTTTTTAAAATTTCACTTCAGCCCTGGCAGGTGTGGTTCAGTGGATTGAGTGCCAGCCTGCAAACCAAAGGGCCACTGGTTCTGTTCCCAGTCAGGGCACAGGCCTGGGTTGTGGGCCGGGTCCCCGCTGGGGGCACATGACAGGCAACCACACATTGGTGTTTCTCTTTCTCCTTCTCTCCCCTCTCTAAAAATAAATAAATAAAATATTTTTTTAAAGATTATTTATTTATTTTTTAGAGAGGGAAGGGGGGAGAGAGAGAGAGGGAGAGAGAGAGAGAGGGAGGGAGAGAGAGAGGGAGGGAGGGAGAGAGAGAGAGAGGGAGAGGGAGAGAAAGAGAGAGAGAGAGAAACATCAATATGCTGTTGCTGGGGGTTCTGGCCTGCAACCCAGGCATGTGCCCTGGCTGGGAATCGAACCTGGGACACTTTGGTTCCCAGCCCGCACTCAATCCACTGAGCTACGCCAGCCAGGGCAAATATTTTAAAAAATAAAATAAAATTTAACTTCAAACAAATTTAGTAGGCAATTTCTAGTCAGTTACATGCCAAACCACGCTTTTTTTTTTTTTAAACCTGTACTGTCCTATACATTTTTGTGTGTGTGTCCTACACACACAACTTTTTTTTATTGTTGTTTTATTTCCTGGCTTCTTCAGATGTTTGGGTTTGTTTTGTCGCCCCTGCTTTTAATGGGAATGCAGCTTGGCCCACAGTGCTCCCACACTCCCCAGCACCCTCCCTTCGCTTGCTGACCCCGAAGGAAGGTCAAGTGGAGCAGTGATCTAAACCTCTGACGTGAAACCTTCACTGCTGTCGCTTCTGATGCTTGAGCAAACAGCCTCTGAGCCACAGTTCCTATGTGATGCAGTCAGTGCTTAAAGTCTCTTCACCGAGACAGCCAAGAAGAGAGGCTGCTAACTGGCTAGGGCTTAGGGCAGGATGGCATAGGCAAGTTTGAATTGGGATTCGCCTTTGCCAAGAGCAAATTAAAGTGAAAATGAAGTATGGGACTGTTGTACTTTATTAAAGTGGATGTTCTAGAAAACCTTACATAATTTAAAAATTCCACTGTGTGTATATTAGATATATTACATATAATATATAATTTTATACAAACTAACACAAATAACTTAAAACAGATCGTATATAAAGATGGTTTTATATATGCTTGTAAACATACTTTTCAGCATAATCCATTTTAATTTGGGAGGATTTGCTTTTATTCAGATATTGTACATAAAGTGAAATGAAGCTGACCATTTCAGTTTGTATAACTCAGATGCTCTCAAAATGCAACCACTATATTTATGCACATTTGAAAATTAATCTTTCTTTTTCTTGATTTTAGGTTCCTGTTAATTCGTTTAAAAGAATTTTGTGGAGAATTTCTTAAGAAAAAACTTCATCTCTCCAACTGCGTGGCCATCCATAGCTTAGCTCACATGTATACCCTGAGCCAGCTTGCTCTGAAAGCTGCCGACATGATTCGGAGAAATTTCCACAGAGTGATCCAGGACGAGGAGTTCTATACTTTACCTTTCCACCTTATTCGAGACTGGCTGTCAGACTTGGAAATTACAGTTGATTCCGAAGAGGTTCTCTTTGAAACAGTTTTGAAGTGGGTTCAGAGAAACCCTGAAGAGAGGGAGCGATACTTTGAAGAACTGTTTAAATTGCTCAGATTGTCCCAGATGAAACCTACTTACCTAACTCGGCACGTCAAGCCAGAGAGGCTGGTGGCCAACAATGAAGTCTGTGTCAAGCTGGTGGCCGACGCGGTGGAGAGGCACGCCCTGAGAGCGGAGAACATACAGTCGGGCACGTTCCAGCATCCCGCTTCCCACGTCTCGTTGTTGCCTCGCTATGGGCAGAACATGGACGTGATCATGGTCATTGGGGGCGTGTCAGAAGGAGGGGACTATTTAAGTGAATGCGTAGGGTATTTTGTTGATGAAGACAGATGGGTCAACCTGCCCCACATTCATAACCACCTGGACGGACATGCAGTGGCGGTGACAGATTGCCACGTGTATGTTGCTGGATCGATGGAACCAGGGTTCGCAAAAACTGTGGAAAGGTATAACCCAAACTTTAACATATGGGAACATGTGTGTAGTCTGATGACAAGGAAGCATTCTTTCGGACTGACGCAAGTCAAAGGGAAGCTCTATAGCATTGGAGGACATGGCAACTTTAGTCCTGGCTTCAAAGATGTCACTGTTTATAATCCCGAGCTTGATAAGTGGCACAACTTGGAATCGGCACCAAAGATTCTTCGAGACGTCAAAGCACTAGCCATTGAAGACAGGTTTGTGTACATCGCCGCCCGCACTCCTGTGGACCGGGACACCGAAGATGGACTGAGGGCTGTCATTACTTGCTATGACACGGAGACTCGACAGTGGCAGGATGTGGAATCTTTGCCGCTTATTGACAATTACTGCTTTTTCCAAATGTCCGTGGTCAATTCAAACTTTTACCAGACCGCATCATGCTGTCCCAAGAGTTATTCTTTGGAAAATGAAGAAGCAGTCAGAAAGATCGCCAGTCAAGTTTCCGACGAGATCCTTGAAAGCTTACCTCCAGAAGTCCTAAGCATCGAAGGAGCAGCCATCTGCTATTACAAGGATGACGTCTTCATTATCGGAGGCTGGAAGAACAGCGACGACATCGACAAGCAGTACCGGAAGGAAGCCTACCGGTACTGCGCGGAGAGGAAGCGGTGGATGCTGCTCCCCCCCATGCCGCAGCCTCGGTGTCGGGCCACGGCCTGCCACGTGAGGATCCCGTACCGGTACCTGCACGGCACGCAGAGATACCCTATGCCTCAAAACTTAATGTGGCAGAAAGACCGGATCAGACAGATGCAAGAAATACATCGGCACGCCCTGAACATGAGGCGAGTGCCCAGCTCTCAGATCGAGTGCTAGGTTCTCGAATACGTGCAGCCTAAGACGGTTCCACCTGATTCGTGAGGGTGGAGATATCCAGACTGTTACTTGAAAAAGTATGTTGATAACTTATTTTCTACAGGAATTGATTGTTGCCTCCTATAAAGGAAATGTAGTTGAAACCGGAAGACTGGGAAACTCAGTACGTGGTCATTTTTGTTAGCTTGCAGCCTTTCTGTGTCTGCGGTCTCTGTCTCTGGTTGGTGTGTATGTGCTAGCCAACAAACAAGATCTCATTAAAGACAAGTGGGAAAACCAGGTGTAGTGACTTGGCTTGTTTTCTGCCAAGAAGTTCTGACCCCTTTGTCTTAGGGACTTAGGTGTTGAACATGCTTTAAGCACCACTTTTATTTGCACATTTACCTTGGTGCTTCTTTTCATTTTCTCCTGAATGGTTGGTTTTGACAAGATAGGAACTTACCCATGGAACCCTCATCTGCCTCGTAAGAGGTCTGTGCAGCAGACTGAACGTTGAAGGGAGAAGCACAATATTTCAGCAAGATGGCTTTAGAATGTTTGCATTGATATTTTGTTTATCCAGAAATGCTCTTCTGTTTCCTTCCAGAGAAGAGATGACTGATGAGGAATTTGTGATTGGCTCATGCATTTTTTTGAATATTTTTCATTTCTCTAGCAACCAAGTTATCAACTTCAAGCTATCACTCTGAGGTGATGGTAGTTGGCAAAAGTATTGATCTTTAACTGATTGAATACAGAGGACATTATATATATGAAATTCACTTCTCTGACAAGTATTAGTGTAGACCAAGAAATCAAAGGCATTAAAACATTTTTAAATAGTTTCTTCAGGAGTTGCAGGCTTATTGGAGGATAAGTTAATGAGTGTAAATAAATAATGCCTATGACAATCGACACTCAATGCCTTCAATTTTAAATTTTGCCCTAATACATATTTAATAGAATCCTCATTTCTTTCTAAAGTAAACTTTTATTTTAAATGGGAAGGAAATAACAATTTGGAGAAATGTTGCTAAAGAGAAGCCTTACTGTTTCTCAGCCCCGATGGTTGTGTTACATCCAGTTGCCCTAGACCTTTTTTTTAATGAGAGTGTATTTGAGCCTTAAGTGACCACTAGGCGGGGAGCGAGACCTCAGATGCTCCCCAGTCACCCTGGACTTTCAATGAAACTTAACCTGAGCCTAGAATATAAAATTTAAGTGCGTAATTCTGGCTCTTCAAAATGTATTACTGTAGTTATCTTTTATTTGTTTTTATGCATTCCTCTGATTCTCTTACACACTCCCAAGCTTTATACAAATTAACACTCAGGTTGACGGTTTTAGCACTCAGCAACTTCTGCTCTTACTGTTTGCAGTGGGGTCCAGTGTATTTTTCTTGTTTTGGTTTTTTTTTGAAAGTCTCTAGTTTCTTAGACATTTCCAGAATACTGTCCTAGAAATTAAATTCTAAGTGATTTTTTTTTGTCGTTCCCTACTCCATTCTGGTTAACCTCCTTATTAGTCATATCAAACATTTAAAAAAAAAAGAAAAAAATACAACCAGAAAGTTTAGCTCTCAGTTTGCTACAAGACTATTCATGCTTAATCCTCGGACTCTATAATAAGAACTTTCCTTAAATTTCCAAATGGATATCCCTGCCGAGTACAGTTTTTCAATAAACACGTTGGAAATCTGCTTTAAAAGCATTTAATGTAGCCCTGGCCACTGGTGTGGTTGGCTGGAGCGCACTCCAGTCCACTGAAAGGCTGTGGTTCCTGGTCAGGGCATGTACCTAGGTTGCGGGTTTGATCCCCAGTCGGGAGACAGTGGATCAATGTTTCTCTGTCTCTCCCTCACGTTCTCTCTTGCCCCTCTTTCCTCTCTCTCTAAAATCAATAAACATATCTTTGAGTGATGATTATATTTTAAAAATAATAAAAACAATTTAGATTGGGGGTAGGAAACTGCAAGTCATATTTCTGTGTGAGGATATAGTATCCTACCCAACCTCAACCATTTTCTCAATTTCTCTGTATTTGTAGTTACTTTAAAAAAAGCCATTGGATCCTGAAAAGTGCAAACTCTTAGTGAGAGGTCTATGCAAGTAAGACAGAAAAGCTCACTGGATGAAGTTCTCATTTCTCTCTGATGGACTGTGCTAGCAAACTTCCTTTTCTTGGTTGTTTAAATAATTCAGCAGCTCACTGGGATGCCAGTTTCTTTCTAGAAGGTGCCATATAAGGATTTAGGGCTGTGTTTTTTTGTGTGTTTTGTTTTGTCTGGTTTTCCGAGACAGTCATGACCAACTTACGTGGAGGGATGTCTGTCTTTCACATGATGTGGCAGAAATTCTAACTCATAAGATTTAGGTATAATCTGGTTTTGAAAACTTGATTGAAATTGTTGTTTTTTAACTTAGCAGGCGGCCCGGGCCACGGGTGGAGAGAGGGGTAAGTGCTTCTGTGCATGGTGACGCACGCGTGCGGGTTTTCCTGACTGCCGGCCTGACTTCCGTGTTTGAGTTCACACGTGTGGTTCCCCACCAATAACTTGTGTTTCTGAAGTATCCGAACTAACTCGTTAATCAGGAAAGAAACCAGATTTGCTTAAATCTGTTCAAGGCTGACATTCTGAAATTCTAAACTGGAAATAACTTCCTGGCATTTCTGGAAAGGTTCTGATTATGAAGAGCCTAAAGTGGCTCTTTGGGGGTGCAGATGTCCTTTTCGGTGAAAACTTACAAAGATTGTGTTTTGCAATTGAAGCAGTTAAAACTACAGCTTTAAAAATACAATGTGTATTTAAGCAAACTTTTTTTTGTTGTTGCTTTTGGTTTTGTGGAAGGAAAAGAGTAATTGATTATATAAAAAGTAACAACTCTACATAACTTTGAGTGAAGCTACTTCTATCTCAGAGTGGATGTCTTTTAACTCTACCTTCCAACCATGGTTTCTTAAAAAATCAGTGGTGTGTATTGAGAATGTCAGTCATGAGCTTAGTGTTTAAGTATCTCATCTGCGGTTATTTGCATGACTAGTCTTGTGTATCTTGGCTTTTGCTGTGCCAATTCAAAAATATTTTGCTAAAAAAAAAATCTCAAAATTAATTGACATCAATTTTGTGTTGATCAGCTGCTTTTGTGTGGTACTTCTGGGACCAAAACATTTTTAAATATTAACTTTAAAAATATAGAACAGTTTGGTGCTGAAAAGATGGTGTTTATGGAAAATTTGTGTGTTTATGTATTTTAAGCTCTTTAGGCTGCTGGTAAGGCAGTTTCTAGGGCACACTTTTCATGTTTCTTGATTAGTGTAGCATGTGGTATGTTTTAAATGCATTACTCTCTGCCTCATTATTCTGTATGAACACTATACTATTGGTAGACAGGTAAGCTAAATTGTGTGTTTTAGTTACTCGGCCTAATCAAGCATAACCAAAGGGACTTTTTGTGCTTTTCTTAAATTAAGCTTAAATAAAAAGGGCATATCGGTCGCATTTCGTGTCTTTTGAAAACAAAGCGTTGTGAAGCATGTCCATCTGCCCACACTGTAAAAATAGGGTGCCTACCGGTTGCTATGTAACTGTAGAATATTTAAGAAACCACTCAGTCTTCTTTATAACTGTCAGACCTTTTGGCACAGTTCATCACTTCAGTTTGTTACTTTGTTGAGAATAGTCCGTTTTTGCTTTTGTTACAATGCTAACACTATAACATGTTCTGGTCACTGGAAACAGCGGAGCTCATCCTTGAGTGATGCAGTTCAATAACACCACCATCACGAGGTGATCGTTTTGCCTCAAGGAATTTAGGGAGCCCAGTACCTGCTGTTTGTCGCTTACCTTTGTGGGGCTTTTGTCTTGCTCTGTATGACAGTGAAGCACATACGATAGAGCACTTGTGAACTTACTCCCCCTGCATAATGCACTCCCAAAAAGTAGCGCCTGCTAGATGTCTGTAGACAGACCTTAGCGTCCCTGCGCTAGGCCCAGCCCATCGAGTGGTTTGTGACACACACACTTAGTTCAGGCTGATGCACAGTGAGGTTTGGGGGCCAGCAGTATCCAAGCCCCCATTCTGCCGAAAGTATAATCCTGATGCTCTCCTGTGAGCTGGGAGATGTGGAATTGTGGAATTCCGGGCACTTGGAGACATCGCAGTGTAAAATAGCTTGTTTTGTGTTCCTGAAGCTCTCTTGTTCTGTGTTCAAGTACTAATGGTCTCACTGTAAGTGCTAAATAAACGTATTTCACTAGAGCTGGTTGTGCACCGTGTGATTTTTCCTGTGTCGGCGTGTACTTTGAACATCCCTTCCTTCCTTCCCTCTCCCTCGTTTGTTCAGCCGTTGGCTCCCTTAAGTTGAACATTTTCCAGTACTCTTACAAGTTTAAACACTGAATTTATTTTAAAAAAAGAATTAATTCTTATTGCTTAGACTTTTTATTAGCTAAATGAAGAGGCTCATACAGGCAGGGTGCTTGTGGAAGCGGAGTACTTGACCTCGTCCCGCAGCGCCAGGCCCGTGAAGTTGTCCCTCCTGGCGGCGTACTCCCCGACGTTGGCCAGCCCTGGGACCACGCAGCAGCTCAGGGCGCTGCGGTAGATGCTCATGTCATGGGCGTCGTACCACTCGTCCGTCTTCTCATCGTAGCACTCCACGTTGAAGGTGGTGGTGAAGCCGTTGAAGCCGCCCACCACGAACAGGAGGTCGTCCACCACCTCGATGCCGAAGTTGCTGCGAGGGTTGAACATCGTGGGGATCGTGCGCCAGGTGTTCGCCACGGGGCTGTAGGCCTCGGCGCTCCTGAGCCGGTTCGCCCCGTCGAAGCCGCCTACCTGTGGGCAGCAGCGGAGTGCGGCCGACGGTCAGCCCTCGGTTCTGCTCACCCAGGAGGCCCTTTGAGGCGGGGACTGGTGACCCCACGCCTCCCTCTCCCACTGTCTCCCTCGGGGAGAAACCCTCTTCGCATGCTCCCCCGCAGCAGCGCAAACCTGTTCACTAACCGGGCAGCGCGGGGGAGCGTGCCGGCCGAGGCTCGAGGTGCACTCACCGCGTACACGTGCTCTCCATAGGCGATCACGCCTATCCCACTCCTCCTGCTCCTCATGGGCGCTATGACGGTCCACTGGTTGCTCTCGGTGTTGTACACCTCTGCTGTGAACAGGCACTCGTTTCCGTTAAAGCCGCCACATATGTAGACCTGTGTGACGGCAGTGCCAGGTGACCCCAGCTGCCACCGCTGGGCCCTGGGAGGGTGTGGACACGGTGCGGGGGGCAGCAGGGTGCACTTCTGATGCCCGTCTGTACACGCTGAGTTTCTTTTCTTCACGTGTGCTGGCAGGGCCCTTTAGTTTTAGTTTTTATGGTCATACTCAGTGTTTGTTACAGTGAAAGGATGCAAATGAAAGCCCAGCCAGGGGAAGAGATTCACGGGGCAGAATGCAAAGATGTCCCAAACGAGGAGCTTCCAGTCAGCGTGTCCCCGTGGAGTGGGGAGCAGCAGGACTGAGGGGCAGTGCGCGGGGGCCCCATCATCCGGGGGTGCTCATGTGATCAGGTTCCCTAGAGGCAGCTGCCCGAGTGCCCGCCCTGTACACGCATTGCTTTTTTAATAAGCAAGGTCAGAAAAGTTGGTTACAAAGGGCGACGTGGTCACCTGATGAAGGAGTTAAAACTGCAAAGGGTGCTGCCACCTGTTTCCCGTCCATCCCCCACATCGAAGGAGAGCGCCATCTCTGGGCTCGTGTGCTGTCCCAGCCCCCCGCCGGCCTCCCCCAGTTTTACCTTCCCGTAGAGCGTCGTGGCGCTCGCGTCGCTCCTCTGCTCGTGCATGGGGGCGATGAGTGTCCACTGGTTGGTCTCCGGCTCGTAACGCTCGGCCGTGTTGAGACGCACGTAGCCATCGAACCCTCCCATGGCGTAGATGAAGTTGCTGAGGACCGTCACGCTGACATAGCAGCGTCTGGAGTGCATCGGGGCCACCTGGTGCCACGTTTTCTTAACCGGGTCGAAACGCTTAACACTATTGAAATAGTCCACGCTATCGAACCCCCCAATGATGTACACGTAGCCTTTCAAGTAGGCTGCCCCGTGGTAGGCGCGGGGGCTCTCCTCCTCGCACGTGACGTTCACCCATCTGTCTGCCCGAGCATCGTAGGCCTCGATGGCATTGGTGGGGCTCCCGCCGCTCCAGCCGCCAATCGCGAACAGGATGGCGTAGGGCAGGCGGGGCCTGGTCAGTGGGTTGGTGAAGTCCGAGTTAGAGGGTCCATTCATGTTTAGGTCATACATGGCCTTTAGGGCATTGATGATGACCGGCTTGCATTCCTCGCTGTCTTTGACATAGTCATTCATCTTAACATTGTTCATGAAGTACTCAGCGTGCATGAGGGCCAGGCGGACCTGAGAAGGAAATGCAGCAAGTGATTTACAGTGAGGTGAGGGCGCCTGGAACACCCGCATCCTGAACCCCCTGTCTCACAGCCTGCCTTGGAATGGCAGCACGGCCACTTTTTTTTTTTTTTTTTTAATTTACAACTCAATTTAAACATTTGGACGCTGAGAACGAGCCAGAAAATGATCAGCAAGTGAACCCATTCGATGGCCACTGCACAGTACTCCTAGACCCCAAAAAGCTGTAGTAATTTGTTCCGTAAATCTGTATTTGTGTCTATATGTAAAATGACATGAATTAGCACCAAATGACTATGAGTTCAGTTTCCCGCCCACTGCCAGAGAGAATTTTGACCAAAGAATATGGCTGGGATAAAAGGAACTAGGAATGCCAAGGGCAAAGAGAATTGCAAAGTTCCAGAAACTAGTAGGTGATGCATACATACATATACATAAGTGTATGTAGGCCCTGGCAGGTGTGGCTCAGTGGATGGGGCGCCGCCCTGCGAACCAAAAGGTTGCTGGTTCTGTTCCTGGTCAGGGCACATGCCTGTGTTAAAGGCCAGGTGGTGCAAAGGGCAATCAATCGATGCTTCTCCCTCTCTTTCTCCCTCCTTTCCCCTCTCTCTAAAAATAATAAATATGTGCCCTGGCTGGCGTAGCTCAGTGGATTGAGCGTGGGCTGCAAACCAAAGCATCGCAGGTTCAATTCCCAGTCAGGGCACATGCCTGGGTTGCAGGCCACGACCCCCAGCAACCGCACATTGATGTTTCTCTCTTTCTCCCTCCCTTTCCTCTCTAAAAATAAATGAATAAAATCTTTTAAAAATTAAAAAAATAATAAATAAGCTTAAAAAAATAAGTGTATGTAAATACAGTCCTGGAATCTGTCAAACATCTGAATATGGCTCTTAGGACAATCTCCCTGGGATAAATGAATCAAAAGTGAGCAATCGGCATCCCACAAAAAAAAAAATTTAAACTTGACCTTGGGGAGCAACACTGAAATATGCTGCTTCCTATTTTGGGGGTCATGAGCAATCCATTTTAAAATGGCCTCAAAAACAGCGTCTTCTTGTTTGACGTTGAGCTCGTCTTTCTCAATAATATCCTTTAGTTCAGTGACCGAGAGCTCGAGAAACTCCGCTGAGACCTTCACCATCTCCTCAAAGTTGTGCAGTATGAACATGTAGGCCTTCTGCCGGAGCTCCGGGCAGTAGTAGTAGTCAGTGAACTTGCAGATGCCGATGCAGTTATCCAGACACAGCTCCGACTTGAGGAACTCGCAGCAACCCCTTACAATACCCATGATGTTAAACTGGTCTGCAGCGGCCAGCAGCTTCTCCACGTTGTCTGGCGTGATGGGGACCGTCCTGGTGTACGCGTATTCAATAATTAGCTTCATCATGTCGGGGGAAATGCCGGGAATGTTGTACACCTTCTTTTCAGTGTTGTTCCAGCCACTCGTAAACAAAGCTCTGGGGAAGAACAAACGAGCAGTCACTGAGACGTTCCTGTCCAGTTTGCCGTCATTCATGCATTTCCCCCACCCACCTTTTCTTGTTGAGGGGAGTTTGGACGTTTTGCTGAAGACCACCTGGGGAATAAACTGGCATGAGGAAGGAGAGCGGAGGCAGACCGTGCTTTGCACAGTGGGCAGGAGAACTTGCCCAGGAACTTCGGTCGCTCCTACCATCCTCGTGATAACCAGGTCCCTTTCTCACTTTGCCGGCGGAGCAATCGGGATCTGGAGCTGGGAGTAAGACCCAGGTCTCTTCTGTCCCAGCCCAGTGCCCATCAAACTCTACCTTGCTTAAGGAAATTAACCTTGAGCAATATACGTTTAAAATAAGTGATCTTCACCCTGGCTGGTGTGGCTCAGTGCACTGAGTGCCAGACTGCAAACCAAAGGGTCACCAGTTCGATTCTCGGTCAGGGCACACGCCTGGGTAGCGGGCTGGGTCCCCAGTGGGAGGGGTGCAGGAGAGGCAACCACACATTGATGTTTCTCTCCCTTTTTTCTCCCCCCCATTCCCTTCTATCTAAAAATAAAATCTTTTTTTAATTTCAAAAAAAGAAATAAGTAGTCTTCAATCACCACATGCCCGTAACCTAATCACCTCTGTTGATACCTCCTTGGGCCAAGCCACCACTGTCTCTTGCCTAGATTGGGAGGCACCTCCTAACAGGTTTGCTCTGGAGAGCTCCAGACGCTAGCCGTATCTGAGCCACGAGTGTTCCTCTTAAACTCAGCAGGGGTGTCCAGCCCGTGGCCCCGCCAGCCGCATGCGGCCCAGGATGGCTATGGATGTGGCCCAACACAAAGCCGTAAATTTACTTTACTTAAAACCTTTTTTTGTTGTTGTTGCTCATCAGTTTTCGGTAGTGTTTGCGTATTTAATGTGTGGTTCAAGACACCTCCTCTTCTTCCAGTGTGGCCCAGAGACGCCAAAAGGTTGGACACCCCTGCAAGTCAAAACCTTCCATCGACCTCCCTTCTTATGCAGAATAAATACAGAGTCCTTACCAGGGTCTACGGAAGTCCCGGGAAAGGAGACCTCCACCAGTCACACCTCTCCCACCGTGTTTCCTCCCCCCTGCCCCCTCCCTCCCTTCCAGCCCCGCTGGCCTGCCTTCCTTGGGTACCCCGGAAATGCTTCCCTCTCGGTCCTTTCCCTGCTCCTCCTGCTGCCTGGAAGGCTGCCGGATTTCTGGATTTCTCACTCCATTCCCTGGAAGTCTTTGCTCAAATGTAACTGTCAGCACAGGGATCATCCTATTTAGAATTGCCATCCACCACTCCCTTTCTTCTTTGTTTCCTTAGCACTTACAGTCTGGTACGTATCTAACCCTGGCTGGCGTAGCTCAGTGGATTGAGCGCGGGCTGCAAACCAAAGTGTCGCAGGTTTGATTCCCAGTCGGGGTACATGTCTGCAGGCCACAGCCCCCAGCAACCGCACATTGATGTTTCTCTCTCTCTCTTTCTCCCTCCCTTCCCTCTCTAAAAATAAATAAATAAAATCTTAAAAAAAAGAAAAAGAAAAAAATAGGATGTGAGAAAAAGAGTCGAAGTAACACCAAGATTAAAAAAAAAAAACACACAAACCAATCTGGTACCTATCTTATTAGTTTAATGACCATTCTCCCTACCCAGAGGTGAGCTTCATGAGAATGGGAATGTCTCTAGTCATTGTTTCATTTCCAGTGCTTACTCAGTAAAGAATTATGGAATAAATAAGTGGCTGCTATCACACTACGCAGCTGATTACTTTTCCAGGGGTTGGACAAGACAGAATCCCCTGCCCTAGTATCTATTTTGCTCCCCTTTTCTAGGGCATTTAAGGAAATACGGGCTTAGAGGGCAAAGTCTTCGAGGTCAAAGTCTTCTCTAGAGCGGGGTCTGCAAACAGAGCCTCTGGGCCAGATTCCACCCACCTCTTTTTGTACTGCCCAGGAGGTGAAAGTAGTTTTTTTTTTTTACATTTTTAAATGGGGGGGTAAATGGAAATTTTGCAGCACCTGGAAATTAGCATACATTCGAATTCAGTGTCCATAGATAATTTCACTGGAACATGGCAATGCTCTTTCATTTATCATTAACTGCTATTCTTAGCTGCTTTCCTGCTATAAAGGCAGAGTGGAGCAGTGGCGTGCGACACAGAGACGGCATGGCCCGCAAAGCTTAAAGTATGTACTGTCTAGCCCTGGCTGGCATAGCTCAGTGGATTGAGTGCAGGCTGCGAACCAAAGTGTTGCAGGTTCGATTCCCAGTCAGGGCACATGCCTGGGTTGCAGGCCACGGCCCCCAGCAACCACACATTGATGTTTCTCTCTCTCTCTTTCTCCCTCCCTTCTCTCTCTAAAAATAAATAAATAAATCTTTAAAAAAAATATGTGCTGTCGGGGCTTTCTGTACACTCTGCTGTAGATCTAGATAAGAACTTTTAGCAACAGGTGGGACACATCGTATCTTGATAGGAATGGATTTCTCAGACACTCGAAGCTCATGAGCAAAATAGCCCTTTTATTTCCTGGGTTGCAATGGGTTGTGCCCACACTCCCTTTTTTCCTGCACCCGCCTTCCCATTCCCTCAATCCCTGTTACTTGACCACCCTGCCTGAGCTCATCTGAGCTGGGATAGGGGCCCGGGGGGCGGCTGAAGGGGCGTGGCCATCTAGGTTCCAGCAGGAAACCCAGGATAGGTGCTTAACTTTCCCAAAGGTTGGTTTGAGTGTGAATCAAAGGGGGGAAAGCAGCTGGCCCACCAATAGGTGGCTGAAATCCAGCTGAACCCCAGAGAGGTCTGGCGTTCAGTCGGAAGAGGGTCTGGCCCTGGTCGGAAGGACCTCTTCGGGTGACAAAGGCTACGGGAACCCAGAGCGTTGACAGTGGCGCTCAACTGAAGACGGCGGCGGGGCGGGAAACCTAAAACAAAGCAAGGAGTCTCCAGATGCACCCAACCCCCTCTTCGGGCGCGGTGCAGCGACCCTAAAGTAGGGTAGTACCTAAGTAGTGTTATACCTAAAGTAGGAACTGCAGCTACAGAGGATGTTCTTGTGGGCGTTGAACTCAAAGCCATTGACCTTGATGACCACATCGCAGAGCTTGCCCTCCAGCCTGAGCTCGTTGAAGATCTCGCAGGTCATCGCGCTCATCTTCCGCTCCATGTGAGGCTGGTGGAACCGGGTGGAGGCCGCGGCGCTCTCCATCTCCATGGCACCCTGGGACCAGCTGAGACAGGCTGCTCTCCCCAGGGGGTCGGGAGGGTTCTGGGGGGGCCCCTTTAGCCAGCTGTCGCTCCTCGTCCCTACTACATTTTTCATGTAGGGTCTATCAGGCAGCCCAGGTTCCAGAATCCTGGGCCTGCAGTGAGATCACCCTCAGGATTGTGCTCTCAGGTTCTGGAACCCTCTCCTGTCCCTGTCCCCTTCCTCCTCCCCTCCCCCACCACGCTGTTAGGCTGACAATCACCCCCCACCTCCATTGTGCCCAGAGTGGGACTGTGACCACCAGCATGACATTAGAGTTTTTACTCATTCTGGCTCCGGCGGCCCAGGTCCACCCCGGCAGCAGGTCCGTCCATCCGCCCTCTTCCACAGCGCCACCCTTGGCTCCCCAGCCTGCAGTTCGAGGAAACCAACAGAGGAGGCAGGAAGGAGAAATAAAACTGATTAGAATTTCATTCTTGTCCAGGTTGTCCAGGGCCTTCCCGCCCTCTGGACGTGAGGTAGTCACTCGTTTTCTCCTGGTGAGGAGGGGATCAGAAATACCTCCCGGATTTTTAGCAATTCACTTTGTGGCTCCTTGACACCCCCTCCCCTCCTGCGGCTTTTTTTTTTTTTTTTTTTGGCGTGCAAACTATAAGCCCGGAAATGATCGTGGTTGTTGCGGTTATTGCTCTAGAAAGAGCAGCATCCAGTCACTCCAATTCCTTGGGACCGTCACCCTCCTCAACACAGCCCAGCGCGGGACACAGCGCGCCCAGGGCCGCCAGCCTCCCCAGGCCCCGCGGGTGTCGGGGCTCCAAGGTCCCCCGGCCGGCGGCGGCGGAGACGCCTGCGCAGTGCGGCCGCAGGGGCGGTCGCTGTCCCGGCGCAGCTCCGCCGGGGCGAGCATCATGGTGGAGGAGGTGAGGCTGGAGGAATCGTCCGGTGTAGCGCGGGCCCCGACACCCGGGCGCGCCGGGGCCACCGGCGGGGCGCCTCGCCCCCGCCGCGCCACCCCGGGCGGTAGGCGCCCCCGGCCCGGCCGGAGCCCCTGCGCCCCAGGCCGGGCCTCGCAGGGTTGCCCAGGCGAGTCCCGGGCTCCCCTTGGGCCCTGCGCGGTGCCGGGGTCAGCCGTTCTCTCGGGTCTCGGGACAGGTGAGCGCCCTGATGAAGGCCACGGTCCTGATGCGGCAACCCAGGCGGGTCCAGGAGATCGTGAGCGCCCTCCGCAGGGGCGGAGGAGACCGCTTACAGGTACCGCCGCGGCGAGCTCGGGCCCGGCCTGCAGGTCGGGGCGGCTGTGGAGGCGTCCTGCGCGGGTGCTTTCCCGCGGGGCTGCGGGCACCTGCAAGCCCGCAGCCCTTAGACACGGACAGGAGGCTGAGGACAAGGCGTCGGTTCGCCCGTTTTGCCTTGGGGGAGTGGGGGAGAGCCCGCCTGCCCCAAACACCTACATGTCAAATTTCTCAGTAAGGTAACACTGCCTCCTCTAATTAGACAGACAGCATCCCACGCCAGGCCCCGAGGACTCGTTTTCCACACTGGCCCGGGTCAGCTCCCCAAGAAGTTGCAGATGTGGAGATGGGTGATAAGGAAGGACCCAGGGCACTGAAGTGGGTGCTATCGAAAGAGCCAAAGGGGTCTTGACTTTTCAGCGTCCCCCACCCCAGCGGTGGCCCTGGTCGGGGTTGGCACTGTGTTAAGTAGGATTAGTTCTCCCCTCCCTGGGCGGCCCCCCCTAACTCCTCCAGGGCTTTGCCCGCAGCCCGGGCACGGAGCCCTTTGAACCGTACCCCCCCAGGCTGACACAAAGCCACACGGGAAGGAGCCTGTCTGGGCATCGTCTCTCTTTTGCATCCTAGGTCATCTCTGATTTTGACATGACCTTGAGCAGGTTTGCATGTGATGGGAAGCGGTGCCCTTCTTCCTACAGTAAGTCATATACGAACTGGCTTTGCTGGGCTTGCCCAGGGGATGGCTCAGGAGGGGCGAGTGACAGGCACTTGGTGTCTTTGCAGATATCCTGGATAACAGCAAGATCGTCAGTGAGGAGTGCCGGAAAGAGGTGCGTTGCTCCCCTTCTTTGCTCCTGTATTATTATTTCAAATGGCTCTTGGTTAGGACCAAAGACTCCAGGATAGAGAACTTAGAAGGTTATTTATTTATATTTTCCTCCAGTGAGCCTCTAGTCTTGATACACGGGGACATGTTTTCCTTGTTGGCAAGACCCACAGTTACCAGCTGCAGTCGGGACATTATGCTCACTGCTAGTTACAGAGTTTACAAGAGACTTCAGTGTTTGTTTTTTAACCCTCCCACAACCTTGAGAGGCAAACAGAACCAGCATTGCCTCCATCTGACAATTGAGGAAATAGGCTGGGAGAGGTTGAGCAACTTACCTAAAGTCACACAGCAAGACGCAGGGCCCGGCTTTCCCCTGGATCTGACTCTGTCCCAAACTCTTTCCACCACGCTATGCTCTAATAATATATATTCGTTTTCTTGGTTAGGCCACCAGCATCTAGAACAACTTCCGAATTCATGTCAGCGTGTTGTACCATAACTCTGTTTCCATAAGATGCGTGCAGATATTGGAAAGCGATCCCTGTGGCCTTGGAGTTCGTTTTACTTTGTTTCGCACTCTTCCCATCAGGGGACCCTGGGCCAGGGCAGAGCCCTGCTAGCTGGCGGTTCTCTGAAGGTTGCTGGGCTCTTTCTGCTGAGTAGCTGCGTCATTCAGTTCCACTGTGTTACGAAATTCACTAAATGGCATGTTAAATGGTCTGTTGGTGTGTCTTACTGGTGGGCCCTTCCAATAATACTCTGTCATGATTGTGGGGCTCGGTATTGAGATGCGTACTTGGATTATAGATGGTCCTTACATCTCTAAAACCCGTCTCCCGGAAAGCCACTTTCCGCGTAAGGTCGGTTCCGGCTCCATCACTGATGATAGCTTTTAGCAAGTCACTTCATTTGGTTCCTGATTTGTCAGCTTCCGGGAAGCTGCATCCTCAGATAAAAATAGTAGGGTGTGATTCCCCTTTCTCAGATCAGGAAGCTAGAGAGAACTAAGGGGTTTTTTGTGTGTTTGTTTGTTTTGGTGTTGATAGACTCCTGAAAAAAATGGCTAAAGCAAACTTCATATATAAGACATTTTTCTTCTTTTTAAAAAAGTTCATGTTCCTCTGTTGAGTTCTATTATACCTTTAGAAAAATGTTCTTTCACCCCCCCCAACCCCAAATTAAACCCCCTGCACACTGAGAACACATTCCAGGAGTGTTCTGCCCTGGTGAGTGTGGGATCTTTGCATTAACCGTCTTCGGACCCGTGGTCAGGGATTCTGTTCGGTCTCATCGTCCTCTGAGACCGTGCACATACGAACATTAACATTCTGTACCTGGTCGATTCCCATCTTTATCGGGTGCTGCTGCTGACTGGCCTTGCGTGAGACATGGTCCCTCCCCAGGGGGCGGAAGGTTCTGGCGTGTGGAAGGGAACCGAAGCCAGAGGAGGCACTGATGTCCACTCGGTGGTGGCAGTGTGAAGGAGTCACCCACTGACATGCCGTGTCCCAAACTGCAGTCCTCTAGTTCCGCTTTTGTGATTTGGGTGGGTTGTTTTGTTTTTGTTTTTGTTTTTGTTTTTGCCATATCTATGTATTACTTTTACTAAGTATCTTTTTAAAATTGATCTGCTTTAAAAAAATCTGAATGTGATTAACTGACAAAAGAAATAATCATTGTGAACGCATGTTTGACATGCTAGTTTTTTTCTTTTTTTTTTTTTACTTTTTAAAAAGTTTTATTTTCATTGTTGTTCAAGTACAATTTTCTTTTACTCCCATCCTGCCCACCCACCCAGCCCTCCCCACCTCCCTCCCATTTCCACCCGCCCCTAGTTTTTGTCCATGTGTCCTTTATACTTGTTCCTGTAAACCCTTCCCCTTTTTCCCTGAAATTCCCTTGAAATTCCCTCCCTTCTCCCCTCTGGTCACTGTCAGCCTGTCCTCTATTTCAGTGTCTTTGGTTATATTTTGCTTGTCTCTTTGTTTTGTTGTTTAGGTTCCTGTTAAAGGTGAGACCATACGGTATTTGTCTTTCACTTCCTGGCTTATTTCGCTTAGCATAATGCTTTCGATATGCTAGTATTTTTTCTAATACACATTAAAATAAATCCACAACTAACAAAACAACTAACAATACATAGCGTCCATGTATTCCCTGAAGCAAGCTCGCCTCCCACCTGAGAGAGCGCACGCCTTTCGGGAAACGCAGCATTAACTCGGCTCGTAGTGGTTAAGCCCCGGGACTGAGCTCCTCAGTACCAACGAGATCCAATCACCCTCTAACCTGATAGCAAAGCTCCTTGCGTTGTTGCTCCTTACACCTCTCTGCTGGGCGAGGGCCAAGGGGTGACTAGCACTGCGGATCCATTCTCTCCCTGACATGAAGTCGCACTGTCTAGGTGATTTTTTTCCTCAGGCTAAATGGTAGGACTTCGCTGGGGAAAGCTCGAGGACACTAATGGCTTTTCTCCTCCTTTGGTTGCCCCAGCTAAATGCGCTCAATCACTACTACTACCCGATTGAAATTGACCCACTCCAGACCATCCAGGAGAAGCTACCTCACATGGTGGAATGGTAAGGGGGGCAATGGTGCTGGTGGCAGGAGCTCCTGGCCCTCGTGGTGCTCTGGTCCAGGAGGGCGTGTACTTGCACTGGGCTTCAAAGGGATGACGGGTTTCCTTACCTTCCTGGATGCTTAACGGAATGCCATCGGCCTGGCTGTGAGAGCAGGTCGTCCAGGCACGCCTGCAGCTACAGTGGCTGCTGCTGGAGCGGGGGCCCACCAGGAATCCTTGGGCTGCGTTAGGAGCCCCTTTCTCAGGGGCAGTGAGTGCTTGGGGAGATAGCCTTCCTGTAGAAAGCAGCGTTGCTGGACAGGGCCCCGGCTCTGCAGAGTGGGGCCACGGAGGGGGCGTTCAGAGAGCTTTGACTTTAGCAGTTAACTCACCCACCTCTTGTGTCTCGGTGGTGTTGCCTTTTTTTTTTTAAGGAATTTTTTAAAAGATTTTATTTATTTACTTTTAGAAAGGGAAGAGAGGGAGAAAGAGAGAGAGAGAAACATCAATGTGCGGTTGCTGGGGGCCGTGGCCTGCAACCCAGGCATGTGCCTTGACTGGGAATCGAACCTGCGATGCTTTGGTTTGCAGCCCATGCTCAATCCACTGAGCTATGCCAGCCAGGGCTCTTTTTTTTTTCTTTTTAATGGACCACGAGTGTCCTCCAGGGAATGGCTCTGTGGAAAAGGACGAGGCCACCTCCATTGTCAATCCTTCCAGAGGGGACTTGACCCTGGAAAGGGAAAGGTCACTTGAGTTTCTTCATGATTGACTTTAGGGTCTCACAGGGTGTTTGTTTCTAGGTGGACCAAGGTGCACAATCTCCTGTGTCAGCAGAAGATTCAGAAGTGTCAGATCGCTCAGGTGGTGAGAGAGTCCAATGCAATGCTGCGGTAAGCTGCTCACTCTGGGAAACGTTTGAAGCTGGTTTGCTCATGCAGAGAGGCTGGGGAGGATGGGAGAGGAAATCAGCTGCTGGGGGAGTTGGAAGAGACATTGCACTGTGAGCACCTGAAGTGGGGAAGGTCTTGCTTTTCCTCCCTGGATACAACTGAAGGCTTTTCTACCCTTGGGTGCTTCCGTGGAAGCAGTCTGCTGGTGTAGATGTGACCAGGGCTGCCTCTCCTAGAACAAACAGCACCTCGCCCATTTTTCCCAGTGGTAAGAAGACTTTTAGCCATGGCTGGTGTAGCTCAGTGGATTGACCGCTGGCCTGCGTGAACCAAAGGGTCACTGGTTCAATTCCCAGTCAGGGCACATGCCTGGGTAGCAGGCCGGGTTCCCAGTAGGGGGTGCTCGAGAGGCGGCCACACATTGATGTTTCTCCCTTTCTTTTTCCCTCTCTTCCCCTCTGTCTACAAAAAAATAAGTAAATAATCTTCTTTAAAAATTAAAAAAAGACTTTTGGGGTCACCATGGTGACTGGCATTCTTTATCCAGACACGGGGGCTGGCTGGCCTGGGACCCTCGATCATTGCCGGCCTTCACAGAGCCGCAGTCTCTGCTGAAGCGTCTGGACTGGAGAAGAGGTGGGGGCCCATGGGGGAAGGCGTGTGTCCCTAAGGATTGTGTGTCCTAACTGCCGGGACAAGCTGGCTCATGACAAGACAGCAGAGATATGTGCGGACCATGCAAGTGCCGGGCTGGGTGGGCTCCTCAGTGAACCTGCCCCGGGACGGCTGCCTGGCTGTGTTCTGCAGCCGACCCTGAACAACAGAGAGTGAGCGTGCGGGCCCGCTCCTACGTGGGCTTTTTCAGTCCGTGTGAACAGTTGGCCCTCTGAGTTCCGCATCTGCGCTTTCAACCAGCCGCCGTCGGAAAACAGTGTTTTCTCTTCTGCTTCTCACAGCCAGATCACTTTCACATCCTGGAAACAGTGTTTCCAGCCTGCGCTTAGGAGTGCGCAGATGCGGAAGGCCGGCTGAGTGCCTTGAGCCCGGCCGTCTTATCTAAGGGGCTGGAGCAGCCTTGGATTTGGGTGTCCGTGGGGGTTTTGAGACCAGTCTCCCTGCGGATACCGAGGGATGACGGTAGCTAAGTTTTGGGGAAGTCAAAAGTTATGCCTGGACTAGAGACTGGGAAAACTGATTATTTAGTCACAGAAATTTCAGTGACATGGTCACGTGCAGTAATATGTAGAATAGAAAATGTGTCTAATTAATTGGATGATTAAACTAAGGAAATTTCCAGGCCCCCCCCAAAAAATATACATGGATTTTCAACTGCATTGGGGGTCAGGACCTCTTACCACTGTGTTATTCAACGGTCGACTGTAGAACAGAAACAACAAAAAATGTATAAGCCTATTCATATATGAAGTTCAAGGACAGTCAAGGCTAATGACAAGGTAAGCAGGGGGCCAGGTGGTGATGTGAATTCAAGATAGGGGAGCATGGCATTGACTGGGAAGGGACATGAGGGGACATTGATTTGGTTGCTAATTGCATGGGTATATGCATATGTCAATATTAATTGAACTGAACATTTAAGGTTAGTATACTTTAGCCCTGACTAGTGTGGCTCAGTGGGTTGGGTGTTGTCCCACAAACCAAAAGGTCACCGGTTCAATTCCCAGTCAGGGTGTATGCCCGAGTTACAGTTCCCTCCCTGGTTGGGGGGTGTATGAGAGGCAACCGGTCCATGCTTCTCTCTTGCGCCAATGTTTCTCCCCCTCCTTTCTTCTCTCCCTTCCCCTCTCTCTAAAAATAAATAAATAAAAATCTTTTTAAAAAGTTAGTCCACTTTAACCACATACTGTATCTGATACCTCAACGTACAGTGTTGTTGTTGTTTTTTTAAGATTTTATTTATTTATTTTCAGAGAGGGAAGGGAGGGAGATAGATAGATAGAGAGAAACATCAATGTGCGGTTGCTAGGGGCCTGCAACCCAGGCATGTACCCTGACTGGGAATTGAACCTGCGACACTTTGGTTCACAGCCCATGCTCAATCCACTGAGCTACACCAGCCAGGGCTGTACAGTGTTTTTAAAGAAACCTGGACGTATATAACCCGAGTAGGAGATACAGAACAGTAGGAGGGGCGGTGCCATTCCAGATCCCTTTCCTCTCTTTCCAGGGAGGGCTACAAGACGTTCTTCAACACCCTCTACCAAAACGACATCCCCCTTTGCATCCTCTCCGCGGGCATCGGGGATGTCCTGGAGGAGATCATCCGCCAGATGAAAGTGCTGCACCCCAACATCCGCATCGTGTCCAACTACATGGACTTCGACGAGGACGTGCGTGAGCCGCGTCTTTTTCGGGCTGGACACGGGCAAAGGGGGAGCGGGGGAGCTCCCGCCCCAGTGCTTCGCCCCAGACGTGAAGCCTAACCCGGGGAGGAGAAGGGGGTGGGGCGTGCCGGCTTCTTTGTCCCCGGGCAGCGATGTACTGATTCATGCCAGCTAAAGACCGTCACTTTGAGAGGACCCGCTCTGTGTCGTGTGTGGCCAGCGGTCAGCTCTCTGCCGCAGGGACCTAGTCTGGGGCTCAGCCAGGCCCCACGTCGCTGTCATGGGTCGAGTGCCATTCTGGGCCCCCAAGGGCTTGGACTTCTAGACTTGTTTTTCTAGAACCAGAGGTGGGCAGCTCTGACTCGTCCACGTTCTAACTGCTTCCCCTTCACACCCGTGGCCGGAACGTGCGCCACGCCTGTGAGCCGTGGTTAAGGGTGTGGCCTGAAGTGGAGCTTAGCACGCTTGTCGCCTGACCGGTGCCTGTGGCACAAGCTTCACGCTTCCACCGGAGTAGGCGCCCCACAGCATTTGATGGCCCCTGTCAGTTTACAAGCTTCAAGCAGGGGTTACACACCTTTCCTGTAAAACGCCAGGTGTCTTAGGCCTTATGGGTTCTCGGACCTCTGTTGCAACTGCTCTGCTCTGCCCTGCAGAAGAGCAGCCAGCCACGGACAAGATGTAAATAAACGGGCGGGGCAGGTGCCAGTAAAACCTAACTTACAAAAATAGTTCAGGCCTGGCCCACGGGCTCCACTTTGCCGACCCCAAGTGTAGACGACAGTGAGGTTTTGGTGTGATCGACGGCTTTCGGGGTTTCCTTTCCTCCGTGGCAGGGATAGCGGCAAGCCAGCGGCGGGTGGGTCCCTGGAGCCCTCCCATCTGTCTCCTTTCCCGACCATGCAGGGTTTCCTGCGGGGATTCAAGGGCCAGCTCATACACACGTACAACAAGAGCAGCTCCGCGTGCGGGCACTCCAGTTATTTCCAGCAGCTCCAGGGCAAAACCAACATCCTCCTGCTGGGCGACTCCATGGGGGACCTCACGATGGCCGACGGGGTTCCGGACGTGGAGAACATTCTCAAGATTGGCTTCCTCAATGACAAGGTAAGCAGGGGCCCAGGGCCTCCTCCCTCGAGGCTCGCTTCTCCCTCGGTTCCCGTTAACAAACGCTCACCGAGCACCTGAGGCCAGACGCCGCCCCGAGTGGCGGAGGTTCAGAGGTGAGACGCTGGCCGTGTTCTTTGGGAGGACGTTCCATGTTCTCGGAGGGAAAGAGGAGACACCCTGCGGTTCACGAGTTTGGGGTCAGGGCGACGCTGGTCATTTTATCGGAGCCCACACTCGCTGAGCGCTCACCATGTGCAGGCGACACTGACCCGCTTAACCCTTACGACAGCCCTTTGGGGCAGTGACGGCTGTGCCATTTGACAGACGAGGGGACAGGCGAGGAGGTCAAGGAACTTGCCCAAGGTGACCTTGTTTGGGATGTTGGGGGGCTGATGAGCAGCCCCCCTGAAGCGTTACCTGCACGGCACGGTGGAGATGGGAGACGTCGGTATTTTAGGGTGTGGGTTTCTGATCTAGAGACGAAAAATACAAGAACAGAGCGGCGGCCGATGGGGGGAAACACTGTGGAGTCAGGCTGGACGGCCACCAGTGCTCGCCCTCAGCCAGCACCTGCCTGAGCCCCCAGAATGGGTGAAAATTCACCCCAGATACGTTAGAGCTAAGGTCTGGTTGTTACATGTTAAGCCTGGTTACTGTCCTTTTGACGTGGACCCCAGGGTTCATCTTGGCAGCCTACGCCCATTGCCGTCTGTGTCTCCAAAAGGCGGGCCCTGTGACCTTGAACTCACTCCTCTAGGGGATTGTGGCTTGAATGCACCCCTCCCCCAGCCCCAGGTGCTCGAGAGGCAGACAGTGGGCGGAGGGCAGAGCATTTCCGGGGCTCTCAGTCTCCCCACCCCCTGGCAGGTGGAGGAGCGGCGGGAGCGCTACATGGATTCCTACGACATTGTGCTGGAGAAGGACGAGACGCTGGATGTGGTCAACGGGCTGCTGCAGCACATCCTGCACCAGGGGGCTGGAGACGCGGGGCTCCTGAGTGCGCAGGCGCAGACGCAGGGCCAGTCCCCGCAGCCGTGACGCCGAGGCGCACCCCTGCGGGGGCGCTGCTCTGCCGTGAGCCTCGCGTGTACGGAGGACAGTCCACAGCACCCACGAGCTGCTGGGCCCTCACCCCTCCTCCTCCTTCCCCTGACGCTTTCCGCATTCCCTCTGGGTTCCTCAAGGCCTGAGGGAGGCTCTGCCGGGTGGGAGGCAGCAAAAGTCATTCCCAGTGAATCGGACCTGCAGGGTGTTCGAGCTCTGGGGACCATTGGGTCCAGGATTCTTTCTTATCAAAAATGCTTACCATGGAAAGCATTCTGTTCTTCAACAAATCGGATGTGTGAAGCAGGTCAAAATAAAAAAAAAAGTTAAAACCAGAGCTGCTGTTCTGATTTGGGGTTTGGGGGTGCAGAGCCTGGATCCTTTGGTCTTGGAGGTGCAGGACCCTCCAAGAAGCCACTAAGGCCCCATGGAACACAATTTGAAAACCCCCAAACCAGCCTGGAGGGCTCCACCCCACCCCCACCCCCCACCCCCGCCCAGCACAGCCCCGGTGTGTCTGTGGGGGTCAGGGTGAGCGGGCGGGCTCAGAAGGGTGTGCTTCTAACCCAGAATCGTTGGGCCTTATTCTGATGCAGCTGTTGAACTTGAAATTCAGTTGGCATCAGCTGGGTCTGACAGCCCTGTCTGCAGAGCCCCTTCTCCAGAGGTCCCCAAAGGGATCATCTGTTCAGGTGTCGACTTTCCCTGGCGCCCTGGGCTCCCATCCTTCCTCTCCTCGTGGGTCCAGGGCCACCAAACTGGATGGTTTGAGGGGGGGCCGGGACCAGGAACCTGTAGCAAAGTAAACTAGAAGTGGTTTCTGCTCTCTTGTTTTGCATTCTTCACAGCTTCCCCCCCCACCCTTTTCTCCCCTCCCTGTTGACTTATGGTCAAGAACTAGTCAAATTCTCTCTAGGGTATCTTCTGAAGAAAAAAATGTAGACCAACCGGTTTACTTGGCGTTCTCTTAGCCTGTCGTCGGAGAAATCAGCCCCTCGTCCTTCCCAAGGATGCCTGGCCGTCGGAAACTCGTGTTTATCTGTGGACCTGAGTGGGGAGGTCTCGGGAGTGTGGACCGAGTCTTGCCGTGGTACTCAGATGTGCTCCAGCCGATCCTCACGGCGTCCCTGCAGGCAGGTCCAGTTCGCAGGTGGCTCAGAGGGACCCGACCCCAAACCTGCCCAAACCCCGCAGCTGGGAGCCAGAGCTCCGTCAGGGGTTCCTGAGCAGAGCTGGGCCTGCCCCGTGCGGTCTGCACCTGGGCCGTCCCAGTATGTCTTAGGGAGCAGTTGCCACTTAAGGCGGGGTCTGTAACCCCGGTCAGACCCTGAAGCACCTCTGGGATGCTGTGGGACCAGGGCGTGGCCATGGGGACAGGTCACATCTCTCAGGGCAAGGAAGTGGTGCTTGTGGGTACAGCTCAGTGACCGGCTCTGTCCTTCTCTCTCCCGAGCGCCTGCTGCAACCCCGTCCTGGAATAGTTTCGGTCATCCCCACTGCACTGGCTGGAGTCCAGCAGGGCAGGTGACGGCAGATGGCCTGGCTGGTGGCTAAAGCCAACGCTCCCCCTCCCCCCACACACACACACCCCGGAGATTTGAACTCAGCGACCTTCCCTCTGACAAGTGGGAGGACGGGGCAGGTGGCGATGGCCGGCGGCCAGGAACAGGGGAGGCGGGAATGTCGTAGCATTGGGATGATCTACAAGGAGGAGCCCATCCTATGCAATGCGACCTTTGAGCTTCGTATGTTGTGTTTGAGGTCTTTCCATTCGCTTGGGACACGGAGACAAGGGTCATCTCTGCACACCCCCCCTGCGGCCCCTCTCCTCCGTGGTCACCTGCTCCCTGCCCTCCCTCTGGCAGACTGGGGCTCCCGGTCCCGGGTTAGGACCCCGCGTTGGGCATCAGGGAGGCAGGAGCCTCTGGGGGGAGGAGACTGAGATTTAGGGACACAGTGTCTGGAGCTGGATCGTGGGGACATCCTGCTGTTCCTCTTCCTTCCCAGTCTTCGGGTCTGAGGGTCTCCCCCACTGACAGAGCACCTCCGGAGGCCTCTGGTTTAGTCTTTTATTTGTCACAAAGGAGAAGGGGATCCGACGACACCAGTTTAGCCTTTTGGGGGTGCAAACTCTGCCTGCCCCCTTCTGCCCCCCACAGTCCCCAGTGCGCCCTCCTGAGTTTATCTCGGCTGCGAACAAGGACTTCATTTGGCAGCCCTAGGACCCAGCTACGGAGGTTTCCTCGCTGCCCTTCTTTTATTTCCCTCCTCTTCCTCCCTCCCTTAGCGAAGGCAGCCTTCCTTAGGGATGGATGGAAGGTCACACGAAGACCAGCCTGGACCTGCAGCTCCCGGGGAGGGGGGGGGCACCCCCGCATGAGGGGGAATGGGCCAGGTGGATGGGGACCGTAGTGTGTCAGGGCCGCTCTCCTGGAGCCGCCCCTCCCGTGGCACCAGCCTGAGCTGAGTTGGGGGGAGGGCGGGGGTTCTGCCAGCCCAGTTTCATGCTTCTGGGGCCGCCGTGACAGAGGGGAGCAGGCAGGACTGGGGATGGTGAGCAGAAGGACAAATAGAAGGAAGTTTGGGGAAGTAAATGATGAGCTCGGCCCAGCCCAGTGGTGACGTGGCCATGCGGGGGAGGGGTCAGCAACGGCCTGGTCCAACCCACACCTCCACGGATCCCCAGGTTGGCTTTGTGACTCCCAAAGTTTAGCCTTTTGGGGGTGTGACTCCGAAACTCGTGGTGTGGGTTGGGTGGTGTGGGCTGGACGACAAAACCCAAGGAGGAGGTCTGTGCAGTGGATGTCCTTGTCGGGCTGGCAGGGAGACCAGAGTCGTCCGCTCTGACCGCCCTGCAGACGCTCTCAGACCTCATCCCAGAAGAGTGCGGGTGACCGCTGGAAGTCAACGCCCCCGCCCACTGTCCCCCAGGAGTGGGCGCTGGTGTCTGGGCCCAGGCCCCAGCTCCGCCCTCAGAGCTCCTCGTGAACCAGCTCCTGGTCCTCGTCTGACTTCAGCTTGAGCTCCTCAGCGGTGATCTTGCCGTCCTGGTTGCGGTCCTGGTTCTGGAACATGTCGCCTATGGTTTTCTCCGAGTCCTGCCCCGGCAGGAGGCGACCTTTGCCCTCACTGACTTGAGCCTTGATGAAGGCGGAGAACTGGGGGGGAGGAGAGCGGGGGAGGGTGGGCGTGAGGAGCAGGGCCGGGGCTGCACATGAGCTGGGAGAGGCGGCAGGCACGAGGGACCCAAGCGCAAGGACCCAGCCGAGGGGCAGGGACTCGGGCGCAGGCAGGAGGGTGGACACACACCTTGTCCTTGCCAGATGCCACCAAGCAAGGGAGCTTCTGTTGGGGGCGTGAGTATGGGAACGGTTATTTTAAGGACTGAACTGCTCACCCACCTCCTCGGGGAGGACCTCGCCGTCTTTATTGAGGTCCAGGTCTTCAAACAGGTTGGCGGGAGGGTCCTCGTGCCACACGAACAGGTAGCCCTCGGGCAGTCCCTCCTCCCGGGACACCAGCTCCACCTCAAACAGCAGCACGGCACTGCCAGGGACGCCCCGGGCTGGCGGGACGGAGAGGAGAAGGAAACGGGCCGATGGGGCCAGAGGCCGGGCCTGGCTCTGCAGCCCACCCAGCGTGCTCCCCACCTCGCAGCCCCCCCCTCCGTCCCATCCTGGGGGCCGGAGAGGGGGCCACGGGGTGTTCACAGAACCAGCTGTTAGGGGTTAAGGGGTGGATTGGGCCTGTCTCCGCCTCTCACCTCCGCTCTCCCCGTGGGCCAGGTGCGGGGGCACCACAAGCTGCCGCCTCTCTCCCACGCACATGCCCTGCAGGCCCGTGTCCAGGCCCTCGATCACCTTCTTGGCCCCAAGAGTGGCCTCCTGGGGGGCCTCATAGTCGTGCCTGGGAAAAGAGCCGATTCCCGGGTCAGTGCCCCTCCTTGTCCCCCAGCAGGTCACACCCCATTGTCCCCCCCACCCCCGTAGGTCACTCCTCCTCATGCCCAACCCACAGTGCCGGGCCCAGCGGCTCAGAAATGGGACACCCTTCTCGTCGTGCCATTGTCCCCGAAGTGCGACCCGGAGGGCTCAGCCCCCCTACTGCCAGCTTCACCCTCTCCCCCTTTCTGCCCCCGGTGCTCCCCACAGATGGGAGTGTACCGGACTCCCCTCGCCCGGCCCAGCCCCCTGGCCCGGCCCCGCCCCCGCCCCAGACCCACGAGGAGAAGAGCCTGGTGCCGTCCAGCAGGGAGCAGTTGTAGTGGTAGCGGACGAAGTCCCCGGTTTTGGAGGTCTCGTTGCAGGTCTCCGGGGGCCGCGACAGGGTCTTGATTTCCACGGGATCCGCGGGGTTGTGGAAGTCGATGACGTGGACGTCGAAGATCAGCACGGCCGAGCCGGGGATCTTGTCTCCTGGGGCCAGAACAGGGGAGTGGGTCAGCCCGGGATCTCGGGGCGCCACTCAAGGTCTCCGTGAAACCGCTCTGGGGTTTCTGGCGAGGATGGGAGGGGACGGGACAGGGCGAGCGTCCGCAGCATCAGTTCCTCTGGGGAGCAGGGGAGGGCGGGACCTGCCAGTGAGGAAGCCCTTCACACCGTCCTGCAGCCTCCCAGGAACTTACCCAGCTGACCAAGGTGATCAGTCCCATTTTACAGGTGAGGACGCTGAGGCTTCCAGCAAGGCTGGGTCTCAATCCAGGTCTCTCTGCTTCCTAGGGCTATGCTGTTTCTGTTCTTCCATAACCACCCCCATCCCCAAACCCAGGGGCACTTCTCCAGCATGGAAGAGGGGAAGTGGGAGACTGCCCTGGAGAAAAGGGTGGAGTCCGTGAGGCCGGAATGGAGTGGGTGACCGGTTTTTGTGATGAGAGGGGCAGAGCGGGGGAAGGTCACTGAGGGGCTCAGGCGTGGCGCTGAGGGACCACAGGCCTACCAGTCCCGTTCTCCCCGTAGGCCAGGTGCGGGGGGATGGTGATCCTCCGGCGCTCCCCCATGCAGACGCCCTGCAGCCCCTGGTCCATTCCCGGGATGATGTAACCCTGCCCCACGTAGGTGTTGTACGTGTGGTTTCGGGAGTAGCTGCGGGACAAGGCGGGGAGGCCAGCGAGGAAGTCAGAAAGGGCCCTGCCCTTGCAGGCAGCTCAGAGGCACCCCCGGCTGCTGCCTAGGTGACCCCAGCCCCTAGCACTTTCCTTCCTGACAACTTCCCGCCTGCCTCCAGCCCCGCCCCCCCTCCTCAGGAGCTCCCTGACCTGGAATCGAAGAGGGTGCCATCCATCAGCGAGCCGTTGTAGTGGTAACGCATGAAGTCGCCGGCCACGGCTCTGCGGACACAGCCGGGCGGTAGCTCCAGGGTCTCCAGCTGGACCATGTCCTTCGGGTTGTGGAGGTCGATCAGTAGGACATGGAAGACCAGGGAGGCCTGCGGGGGGATCACAGTCCCTGGGGAAGGGATAGGCTTGAACCATACAGGCGGAGAGCACGCCCCAGCTCCTTCTCGCCTCAGGAGGCCTCTGCGGGAGCCCTGCAGCCTGGAGGTTCTAGCCCTGCTCACCAGAGCCCCTCCCTTGCCCTCAGCAGCCCTGCTTCCCCCTCCGTGAGGCCTGAGCTCGAGTTCCCCCTGGCCTTTGCGTGAATCGGAAGAAGGCACCCCATCTTAATGAGATGGTCACCGAGGGCTAGGTTTTGTTCCTACTTGCCTCCCGGGCTGGGTGCCCCGGCGCAGCACACAGCCCAGACAACCGCATGGGGCAGCCCGCTCCCGGAGCGTCCCCCGGAGTCCTCGCCCGCCCTTACCGTAGCCTTTCTCGCCATAGGCCAGGAACGGAGGGATGGTGATCTTCCTTCTCTCTCCAGGACACGTGCCCAGCAGCCCCTGGTCCATGCCCTTGATCAGCCAGCCCGAGCCCACGTACGTGTCGTAAGTGCCGCCTTTGCTGTAGCTGCAGAGAATGGGGCAGCGGTGATGCTGCTGGAGGCAGGGGGGATGGGCCCCGGACTGCCTCCCACACCACAGTCCCCTGCACCCCAGGGCTCCCTCCAGCCCTCACCTAGTGTCGAAGGTGGTGCCGTCCAGCAGTGTGCCGTTGTAGTGGTAGCGGACGAAGTCCCCGTCCTGGACCATGCGGGGGCAGAGGGGCGGGCGCAGCAGGGTGCTCACCTGCACCGTGTCCGCCTTGTTCCACACGTCCAGCAGGACCACGTCAAAGTACAGCGTGGAGTCCGGGGGGATGAGCCCCGCTGCGAGGGCCAGGCAGCAGGCGCTCAGCCCCCCTCTGCCCCCTCTGGTTCCCCTTCTTCCTGGTCAAGCTGTGACCCCACCCAGGGCCCCGTTATTGTTATTTCCTTTGCTCCTGTGGAGCGGGTGGTGGCGGGAAACAGACACTGCGGTCCCAGACCTGCCACAGTTCACACTGTGAAGGCAGTTGACCTTGGGCAAGTCCCTCTCCCTCTCTAAGCTTCAGTTGTTTCGGCCATGCGGTCCTTGGCTCCACCCCCTCCTGGCGCCCTCCCAGCCGGAGCCACGCCACGCCCCTCTCACCCAAGCCGATGCTGCCATAGGCCAGGTGGGGAGGCACGATGAGGCGCCGCCGCTCGTTGACGCACATGCCCATGAGGCCTCGGTCCATGCCAGTGATGAGACGCCCCACACCCACCACGATGGCCGCCAGAGTGCTGCGGTCGTAGCTGGGGGACAGAGGGGACGGATGGGGTACCGGGAATTCAGGGGGAGGGTGCACACAGCCAGATGCTTCCCTCTGCCCTGGTCACATACACACGTAGGTGCGTACACGCACGCACCTGCATACACAACCCCTCTCTGTGCACCAGTGTCGATCCACATGGTCCTCACCTCCCTCCGAGGTCAGCCGTGACCTCCCACTTAAGAGACTGGGCTGTTACAAAAAGGAAGTCCCCAGGAAGTCTAGGCTAGGGCTGGGTGCAGGCCTGCCTGTCTGCGGCTGCTATCCGCTGACAGCACGGGAAGGCTAAGCACCTCATGGAGGGGAAAAGGGACATTTATTGAGCATTGCGGATATGCTGATTAAATGCTTGGCATTTTATTTTTCTGTTTTCAAGTATTTTATTTATTTTTAGAGAGAAGGGAAGGAGAGAGAGGGAGGGAAACATCAATGTGTGGTTGCCTCTCACACGCCCCCTACTGGGGACCTGGCCCACGGCCCTGGCATGTGCCCTGACTGGGAATCAAACCTGTGACTCTGGTTTGCAGGCCTGTGCTCAATCCAGCCAGGGCTAAATGCTTGGCATTTCGCATTCATGACCTTATTTAATTCTTTCCCCTGTGAGGTGGACATGATGGTTTTCATTTTTCTTATAAGAAAAAAAAATTGAGACACTGTTCTCCTTTCTTTATAAGAAAAATTGTTTTCCTTTTTCTGATGAGAAAAACCGAGACTGGCCTCACTCAAGGTCACGGCTCGCATGTGGTCAGCGAGGCCCCGAAACCCCGGTCTGCGCCGCCGCACCGTGGATGAGCCGAGGAAGGAAGGGGAAGCAGAGCTGGTGGGGGACTGGGGTTGGATTTCAACTCTGAAAGAGCCTATTCTACAACTGCCACGGCTTTTATTTGTTTGTAGTTACAGTTTTCATTTATTTTAAGTTTTCAGAAGTTAAGGGAGGCTGGGAGGCTGATCAAAGGGGGCCATGGATGGTGGAAGGTCTCCAGGCTCAGCTCTGCATAAGCGGGGGACAGCCTGGTTCCCAGAGCCCCCACCAGGGAAACCATCCCCCAAAGCCCCGCCCTCCCCCACTCCTGGCAGTCCAGGGCTCGGGACTGTACTGCTGGCGGCTGCCCACCCCCCATTCGGCCCACTGAGCTGGTTTTACCACTGGCCTGCTTCCTTCACGGTGCCCTGTGGGGGCCCAAGCGCCAAACACTATCAAGGCATCTATCTGGTCCTCCCCAGGGTTAAGGCTAATGGGTATTGAACCCTTTTGGACTTCCGGGCACTACGTCAAGTCCACTTTCATTCATCAGCTTGTCTGAGTCCTATCATCAGCCTTAGGCAGTAGGGACTCGCTTTTTTCCGATTGTTTGTAATAATCTCTATTTTTCAGATTAAAAAAAAAAAGCAAGTGAAGCTTCGAGAGGCAAAATGTCTTATCCATAGTCACAGACTGGACCCAAGGTCCTGGACTCTGGAATTTGTGTTCCAACCCCATGTACTGCCTGCCCTCAAAGCCATGGCCACTGATGTCCCCTGGGCCGACTTGTGTGTTTCGGGGAGGGGTCTAGGAGGAGCTGGCTTCTTGGGGTGTGGTGTGGGGGTTTGTGTGTGTCACTGAGACCCAAGGTTCAGCCCTGCCCTGCCCCCACCAACAAAAGCAGACTTGCCAGAGCTTCTGGACCAGCCCAGAAGCCAGTCTCTCAAACCCCAAGGCTGCCAAGATGGGCAGCAGCCCTGGCCTGAGAGCTAAGTAAGATGGAGGGAGGTGGGGGTGCAGGGAAACCCGGAGAGAGAGGTGTGCAAACCCTCTGAGGGTGGCAGGTCCGACCCGGTGACACGTAGACAGGGTCCCTGCACGTCTGGATCGGTGCCACTGTCTTGTTACAATGCATTCTGCTTCCCGAAGGCTGCTGCTCACTGCCCCCCTCACCCAAAAGCAAGCTCCGCTCCCTCTTCTCTGATCACAAAGGCACTGAAACCTGGGGCTGGAACCTGAAGGGAGGCGGGGCGGGTGGCATGTGGGGGTCCCAGGCTGAGACCACTGGAGGATTCACATGGATCAGAGGCCACGCTCTTCCCCCCAACCCTGCGGACCAGAAGGTCCCCCTCCCGGTGTCTTTAAGTACAGGAATGGTAAGTAGAGCCGTTCACCCTGACGACCACGCACCCTGGGGAATATGAGGAGCCTGTGTGAAGGGAACTGGGGTCCTTGGAGAGGCAAAAGTTTGACACTGAGAGCTGTATGTGGAGGGAGTACCCGAATGCAGACACAGCTGAAAAGGGCAAGGAAAGCCCCAGGGCCTAGGAGCGCTCTGGCAGGACGGAGTGGTGCGTCTGGGGCCACCCAACCCATTACCTCGAGTCAAACTTCTTGCCATCCTGGAAAGTGCCGTTGTAGTGGTAGCGCACAAAATCCCCCATCTGCACCTCCCTGGGACAGGCCCTGGGGATGTGGTACCTCTCGATGACCACGTCTTCCAGGGGGCCCCCGGCCGGGCTGGCGCGGCCCAGCCCCCTCCCCACAGCGTGCGAGAGCAGCAGCAACATCTGCAGCAGTGGGGGCCAGAGGAAGGGGTGGCTGGGGGACCACGCCGGGAACATGGTGCCTGGAGCTGGGACGGCGGGCAGTGAGGGCGAGAGAAAGAAGGGCCGCCACCAAGCTCCTTCTCCCCCCCTCCCCTACTCCCGGAGCTGGCTCCCCCTCTTCCTGTCCTCTGTCCCCACCCCCGCCCTGGCCGGTCCACGTGGAATGGGGGCTGGGGAGACTGAGCTGGCGGCGCGAGGGCGGGGGTGGAATAGGAAGAGAGGGCCAGGCCCAGAGTTTTGGAGACCGAGGAATGCATCACAAAGAACTCCAGATTCCCTCCTCTCCCCCCCACCCGGCCTGAGAGTCCTGGGGCCTAGCGGAGGGAGGTTCCAGAAAGATGAGAAGTCCGAGCTGACTCCCTAAAAAAAAAAAAAAAAAAAAAAAAAAAAAATCTCTGGATCCCCCGGGGTCCTAAAACCAGGCTGAGGCATCTCCTGCTTCTTTTGCTGGCAGCCCCCCCCCCCATCAGAAGCCTCTTCAGGGGGCTGGCGAGGCTTCGCCATCTGAGGCTGTCCCCCATCCCTACTGTCCCACGGACAGCCTCTCCAGCCAGGGACGAGGAGCTGCTTTGCCCTGCAGAAGCTGGACTTCTAGAAGGACTTTCTGACGTGGGACGGAGATCCAGCAGGAGGAGGTGGAGAGAGGGGACGGTGTGCAAGACGGAATCAGGTGTGCGCCTCCCCGGCGCCGGCTGCACCTGGAGCACCTGGAGTGACCCCTTCAGAACTGGGCGTGGGGCGTGTGCAGAAGGGGGTTGTAATGAACGGAAAACTAGGTCCCAGGGCTTGGGCAGAATAGCGGGAGGTGGCACTTTTCTCACGACCTTAAGGTTGGAGGGGTGCCGTCTTTGTGTGGGGAGTTTTCTAGGCTCCCCAATCTTGCGGGAAGCGTCCCCCCACCCCAAATCTGTCGAGGGGAAGCCCCAAGCACAGCGGGCCGGACCAACACGGGGAACTGAAGACACCATAGCGCCGTCTGAAAACGGGAGACGCAGCCCCGTATTTCTCTGGGGACCCGACCTAAGCCACTACCAGCCTGGCTGCCTCGGAGCCCGGCGCTAAGACCCAGCGGGCACGCCGGCTTGGCCCCTGCCCCGTCGGCCCGCCTGCGGGCCCGGCGCCGACGCTTTCTCCGCTCCGGGAGCCGGCCGGCCGGCGCGGTGGGGGCATGGGGAGGACGGCTTGGGTGCTGCTGTGGCTGCTGCTGGGCAGCTCCGAGGCGCAGTACGAGAAGTACAGTTTCCGGGGCTTCCCGCCCGAGGACCTGATGCCGCTGGCCGCGGCCTACGGGCACGCGCTGGAGCAGTACGAGGGCGAGAGCTGGCGCGAGAGCGCGCGCTACCTGGAAGCGGCGCTGCGGCTGCACCGGCTGCTGCGGGACAGCGAGGCCTTCTGCCACGCGAACTGCAGCGGGCCCACGCAGCCCGACGCCTCGGCCCTCGGGCCCGCGCCCGGCCCCGACGGCAGCCACGGCGACGAGTGGGCCCGCGAGCTGCGGCTCTTCGGCCACGTCCTGGAGCGCGCCGCCTGCCTGCGGCGCTGCAAGCGGACGCTGCCCGCCTTCCAGGTGCCCTACCCGCCGCGCCAGCTGCTACGTGACTTCCAGAGCCGCCTGCCCTACCAGTATCTGCACTATGCGCAGTTCAAGGTGGGCTCCCAACCCCGAGTCCCCCGCCCGCTCCCGGGCCCTGCTGGGCCTCGTCGCTCCCAGGCGGCGTCGGGTTTCCCGTCCGTTAGTTACGGCGGACCGGGTGCTGTCAGCGATCCCCAAGCCCGCTTGTGCGCTCAGGGCAGCGGGCTCTGGCCCTACTGACCCACTCCGTCCCCACCCCACAGGCTAATCGGCTGGAGAAGGCGTTGGCCGCGGCCTACACCTTCCTTCAGAAGAACCCCAAGCACGAGCTAACCGCCAAGTATCTGAACTACTACCGGGGGCTGCTGGATGTGACCGAGGAGCCCCTCACCGACTTGGAGGCGCAGCCTTACGAGGTACGGTGCGGGGGCAGGGCTGGCCCTGAAGCGCCTCCCTAATGCCCCCATAGGACTTGCAGAGGAGGGGAGTGTTGGATTGCCCTGACCCCCACCACGCTCCCCTCCAGGCCGTGTTCCTCCGGGCGGTGAAGCTCTACAACAACGGGGATTTCCGCAGTAGCGCCGAGGACATGGAGCGGGCCCTGGCCGAGTACCTGGCTGTCTTCGCGCGGTGTCTGGCCGGCTGCGAGGGCGCGCACGAGCAGGTGGACTTCAAGGACTTCTACCCTGCCATAGCAGGTACCCCCACCCAAACCCACGGAGCATCCTTCCCAACCACCCCTGGGCCCTGCTCGGAGCAACTCGGGCCCCTTAGCACATTTATGGAGCACCTACAAAGAGCTTTGGAGGTAGTCAGAAGTCAGTGTCATCCACCTCTGGGAGCATGGAGTGTGACAGTGGAACAGACCCCCAGCCACTGGGTGCAGAAGGGCTGGGTCAGGGGTGTCCAAGGTGCTGGGCATCGGTGGAGAGAGGCAGTGTGACATCCCGAGAAGCACCCAGGGAGGATGCGCACAAACTTCCCTGGGCAGAGGTCAACGCAGGTGCAAAGGTGCCCAGCTGAGATGGGAAGCAGCCCAGCATGTGTGCACCAAAGGCAGCCTGTGGCCAGAAATCACATAGCCTGGGGGTCCCTAACTGCTGGGGTCCCTCAGAGGAAAGCAGAAAGGGCTGTGCTGAGCTTTTGCATCTGGGCCTCGGCCCTGTATCCAAACCTCCCCACCACTCTTCAGAGAGCCGAGCTGGGGCGGTGAGTCAGCCCTGTCCAGGGTAGCCTTCCACGGCGCTGCTCATCCTGCCCTCCTGCCCTCCTGTGATGGCAACAGGCTCTGCAGGCGGAGCTGGGCCTGGAGCCTCTCCATCCCCCTGTCCCGGTTGTTCGGCATGCCTCCAGCCTCTCACCACTGCCTCCCACCCCGCAGATCTCTTTGCGGAATCTCTGCAGTGCAAGGTGGACTGTGAGGCCGACTTGACCCCCAACGTGGGTGGCTTCTTCGTGGAGAAGTTCGTGGCCACCATGTATCACTACCTGCAGTTTGCCTACTATAAGTGTGAGCTTCCTGGCGGGCTGGGGGCAGGGCGGGGCGGGCAGGGCTGGGGAGTGCACGGAGAGCACTTCACTGGGAGCATCAGAATCATGGGAAGCCGTCCCTCAGAACTGAGGCCCCTAGGCAGTGGGAGGGTGCTGGTGCTGGTGGGGCAGGTGAGAGGCTTGTGGGAGAGCATGGAGGGCAGCCTCGGGGGAGATTCCAGGGCCTCCTGGATGCCCTGGACTGCCCTGTCCGACTAGGTAGCCAACAGCTGCAGGCGCTCGACAGTTTACAAAGCCCTGCCACATCCGTTTCTCTCACTCGATCTTCTCCCCACCCTCATCATCCTCACTACCGACCATGCAGCTGCCATTACTGGACCCATTCTCCAGATGAGGAAACTGAGGCTCACCAAGGGCAAGGGGCCATTAGTCACATAGCTAATAAAAAGTAGCACCGGGACTTAAAGCTTTCCTTATTGGTGGGAGATCCTGGTCTCAGGGGGGGCTGGGATGGTCCGTCTCCAGGGTTCCCGCAATGCAGAGATACCACGATTCAGAGGCTGCCCTGGGGTGGAGGGGCTGAGGGCCAGGGGTCCAGGGGACCCTTCCTGGGTCCGGTTGGCTAAGAAGTTGAGGGCCACCACTGGCCTCTGATTCCCCAGGGACATGATTCTCCAGCTGTGTGAGCTTGAGCAGTTTACCCACCATCTCTGGGCCTTGAGTTTTTTTGTCTGTAACACGAGGATGACAGTAACGTTGAGTCTTAAGTGAGGGCCTGGCACACAGGAAGTGCCCGGTACGCCCTTGCTTGTATTTCCCCTGGGTGGGGCGGGATGCCCACAGGTCTGGAAGACGGCCGGGGAGGCCGGGCGCTGCACTGCGTGGGGAGGGAGGCAGGGGTGGGTGAGGTGGAGGCGGGGCAGTGCCAGGGCTGCCCCTCACCCCTCGTCTGTCCGCAGTGAATGACGTCCGTCAGGCCGCCCGCAGCGCCGCCAGCTACATGCTCTTCGACCCAGAGGACAGTGTCATGCAGCAGAACCTGGTGTACTACCGCTTCCACCGGGCTCGCTGGGGCCTGGAGGAGGAGGACTTCCAGCCCCGGGAGGTGGGCATCGCCTTTGGAGGCATTCTTGGGACCCCGTGGTTTGGTAAAAAAACAACAACAACAAAAAAACCCTGCTGGCTTCCTCGGAAGGCAGGATGGGAAGTGGAAAGAAAACACTGTGGGTTGTGATTCGAGCCCTGGGTTCCAACGCAGCCCCACCAGCCGCGTGGTCCTGGCAACACTGCCGACGCTTTCTGAATCTGTTGCCTCACCTGCAAAATGGGGATGGTGCTGCCTACCTTGCCAGCACAGCCTGGGATGTGGGAGGTATGAACATACGTGTCCGTTCCTGCCCACTCACCTCTCCACCCTCATCATCCTGGCCTTTGCCCTTCTTCCCCGGGGAACTCCAACCTGGACCAACTGAGAAACCCCTTGGGGGTCTCGGGCAACACTGGCCAACAGGGCACACGTGCTCTTGCCTGTTTCCTTGTCAGTGGCAGATGTTGCTCAGCATTCGAGGCACCCTTTTCTCCCAGAGTCCTCAGAATCCTTCTTAACCCAGTTGTCCAGGCAGTTTTGATCTTTCAATCAGCATGAGAGCTGATACCTGTTCCAGGTTCCTTGAGCTGGGAAAGGGCCAGAGGACCCACATCCCAGGAGCTCCGGCTCTTCCACCATCTGGCAGCTCACCGCACTGTCCTTCCCTCCTCCCAGGAGGCCACGTCCTACCACAGCCAGACGGCCGAGCTGCGGGAGCTGCTGGAGTTTGCGCACATGTACCTGCAGTCAGATGATGAGGTAAGCGGGCCCCCTGGCCCTCCAGGGCTGGGCGGTGATGATGGAGACTGCTTGGTCTTCCTTGGGCCCCTTGGGTCAAGGTCAGCCTGGCAGTCAGCTGTTGTGAAGCCGGAGAGATCCTTCTGTCCCTCATCTACACCTGCTCTGGTCTCCCTGCTCAGCGCTGTCACGTGCCCCCTCTCTGTATGTCTGCATCGCGCCTCCCGGGCCCAGCTCAGGGAGTGCCTCCTCCAGGAAGCCCTTGCTGTGTGCCCTGGCTGTGTTTTCTGGGCTTGCAGTGCCAACCCTGACCCTCCGTGCCTCCCTGGACCTGGACTTACTCGCAGTCCTGGTCCATCCCACCCCGGCCCCTTTCTCCAGCCCGCCTCCTGGAGAGCTGTGCTCCAGGATGGGGGACCAGGTTACTCCCAGCTCTCCCACAGCACCTGGCACTCAGAAGCCAAGTTTAAGTGCAGGGATGAGTGCGGGACACCAGGAAGGAAAGGAGGGAGGGTGTTATACCAATTCTGAGTGAGGGTGTGGGAATCTAAATTCTCTCAGCTGGTCCTGCTCAGGGCGTCTTTATCCACCCCCTCCTTTGTTCCAGCACCACACTCCCCTCTCCGAACGTGGGGGCCGGGTCTGCACCCTTAGCATCCAGGCTGGTGCTAGCCAGACTTGGCTCCACCACTTCCCAAGTGGGCAAGTCTCAGACAACCCTCAGATTTCCATGTCTTCATCCACCGACCTGGGAGAATAATGCCCAGCTCACTCCGTGTGGTTAGAATCAAATGAGATCATGTTTGTAAAGCACTTAGTCTAGAGCTGGCCTGCGGTAGGTGCTCAGCAAGTAGTAGCCACTTCGATTGCTGTAATGCATCGCATGCATTACACGTCAGACACTGTATTTGGGGCTGGGGTAAATTGGTGAGAGGCACAGTCCCTTTGCTGAGTGGGGGTGGGGGAGAGGTACAAAGTCCCTCTCCATGTGGGAGAGGTCAGCACGGGACCCCAGAGAACCCCCGACCCAGCCAGGGCCATAACAAGGGCTGCATCCTGGAGCCGATACCTGGGGCCGGAGGGATACACGTGAGCTATCCAGGCAGGCAGCCGGGCAGTAAAGGCGTCCCTGGCTGGGAAGAGCATGAGCAGACAGGATGCACGGACTAGCAGTGTTCTCGCAGGGGTCTCTGTGCTTGAAGGGTGGGCTGGGGAGGGGGTGATGCTATGCTGACACTGAATCTTTGCTGCTGGGGCCCCAGATACCCATTCAGAGAGCGGGCAGCTTGGGAGGAGGCCTTCGTGGGTGAAACCCTCACACTGTTCCTGCAAGAGATCTTGAGACAGAGACCGGAAGATCTTGGCCAGGGTGGGAGCTGACCCAGGTTTGTGCCTTCCCTTCTGTGATCTGGTTTCTCCCTCACCCCCGGCGCTGCTCTAGATGGAGCTGGAGGAGACAGAAGCGCCCTTGGAGCCTGAGGACCACCCATCTGATGCCGAGTTTGAGGGGGAGGGCGACTACGAGGAGGGCATCTATGCTGACTGGTGGCAGGAGCTGGACGCCAAGGGTGATGAGGCCGAGGCCGGTCAGTGCCATGAGCCGTGGTGGCGACATGGGGAGGCAGCCTGGGGTGGAGGTGGGGGGCAGCAGGATCCGGATACTGGGCTGCAGAGGCCGGGGAACATGTATGTCGGATGCTGGGACCCCCTTCCTCTGGGGCTTCCAGGCTGTTGACAACCCCTGACCCACTTGGCAGGGGGTGGCATCCTTCCTGGGAGCAGGAACCAGCTGACACCTGATCCTGGGGAGCCTTGCTCCTGCCTGCCCCACCTCCCCACAGGACAGCACCCAGACACCTGTTGGGAGCGGGTGGGGGGCTCACCCCAGTGCTTTCCCCTTTGCAGAGCCGGAGCCTGAACTTGCATGAAAAGAGGGCCATCCCTGCACCTCTCAAGAGCTCAGGAAGCCTGGGCCCGACGGGACCACCCTCACCAGCCTGGGCAGCAGCAAGAACTATTTATTAAAAGTGTAAAATGGACATAGCTGGCCAGGCGCCCTCCGGTCCCACCTACGAGCGCCGCTCCACCGACCCCTCCTGCCTCCTCGCCGGGTCTATGGGCCCCAGGACGGTGGTGCTGCGGGTGGCTGGCAGCCTGTCCTCCTCCCGGTGCACTTCTCCAGGGGAGACGATTCCAGCTCCCCCTCGCTGGGGTCTCAGCTTGAACCGCAGAGACAGCGGAGGGGCAGCCGTGTCATGAAGAACGCTGGGCCCGTAGTCCAGCGGCTCCTGTCACACAGGCCGTGGGTACTCAATAAACATTTCTGGTTGAATGAATGACACGGCCTGGGGTCCACTCTCCCCTGGGCTGGGTGGTGAGGGTGCAGATCCTTCCCTCCCTCCCTTGGCCCCCATGTCTCCTCATCTGTAAACTCGAAGGCAGGTGAGGGGTCACAGTCCGGCCTCTGCAGAGGAGCCTGGGTATCTGCCACCGTGTGGAGCCTCACCTTGTCATTGCAATTGGCCACCAGGGGGCGTAAGGACACAGGTCCCACCTTGAATCCTGGGAAGAGTAGTTTCAGATTTCTCAGATGGGTTGTCCTGTATTTTCCTAGTTCATTCAGCATCCCTTCCCTCGTAGAATGTGGCGAGTGGGAGGAAGGGGCCAAGGACCTTTACTTCCGGTGTTCACTTTCCACGCATTGGCCCAGGTTCCTTGGCATCAGAGTGGGCACGCCTTGCCTGCCCTGCCCATTCTCCACACCACAGCTTCTCTGCGGCCAGAGGGGCCCTGGGACTACAGTTCAGTGACTTGAGACTTCACGGTGGTAGCAGGACTGCCTGACTGTCTTGCCCAATCTTGACTCTCGTGGGACAGAGAGTCCAGAGATGTGGGGGTGAGAGGGGTGTCTGGTGGCCGTCACCCGACCCTGTGACTCATCAGTGTCCTCTGCATGCTCCACAGTGGGGGAGTGGGGGCAAAGGGGGCTCTTTGGGAGGGGACCCTGGGCCAAGGCCTGCCAGGTGGCAGTGCTGCCCCTTCCCAGTTTCTGGCCTAGCGGCCAGGGCAGGCAGGCTACTGGAGGAGCCTTCTCTGTGACTGCAGGGTGGGGCTCACCCTGAGAAGCCTAGTTCTCAGCTGCCACACCCCAACATCCCCAGAAGTGCCAGGTGACCTGGCTTGGGCCCCGCCCATCTCTGGCCCCGGAGAACTCCCTACCCGACTCCGGATGAGGGTGGGAAGGCCAGAGTCTGAGTCTGGAGCACAGGTGGGTGGGGTCAACAGGGTGAAGGTGACCTCACTCCTCCCTCCTAGCCCTCCCTCCTGTAGGCGGGTCTGCAGTGGTAGTGTCTCTCGAGAGCTCTCAGGTGCCAGGGTTGCCCAGCCCAACCTCACCCCTTTAGAGCTGAGGTGTTAGCTCCCAGCAAGTCTCTGCCCCCTCCTGCTGGGAGGGGCTGTCCTCTGGGGCTGGCATTTCAGAGGGTGGGGAGCAGGGATGTGCCGGAGCCTGCCTGCGTGATTAGGAGCCTCGGAATCTGAACGGATGGGTGGAATCCGAGAGTGCTGGCGTGCGGGAGTGCAAAGGTCTGCATGTGTGCGTGTTTGTGGCTGTGCCAGGCTGGGTGTGAGCGTGTTGCCTGTGTCAGAATGTCCTCCGTGGCGATGTGACTGTCTCTGTCCCCGTGTCCCCGAGTGTGTCCCTGTGCATTTGTGAATATGAATCTGGGGGGGGGGTCATTCACTCAGAACGTATTTATGGAGCACCCCCTGGTGCTGGGCATGCACTAGTGGGCAAAGCCGGCCGAGCACCCTGCCCTGGTGGAGCTTGCATTCCAGCGGGGAGACAGACAGTAAACAGTGACTGTTACAAGATACGTTAGATACATAGGATGGAGAAGCAGAGCTGAGTAAAGAGATGGGGAGAAGGGAGGGGGTGCGGTTTTAGAAGTGTGTTGACACATATGTCCAAGCGTGCACCTGAGAGTGGCGTCTCAGTGTGGGGAGCAGGGTGCCCCCTGGGAGCACCAGTCTAGCCCCCCTCCAGGCACCAGCCCCCCAAACAGGCCATCAGCCCAGGCCTCCCCAGCCAGAGTGCCACACTCAGCTCCTCTTTCCCAGGCAGTGCCAGCCCCTCCTCCCTTTCCCCCCGTGCCAGCATCTCCCCGAGCTGGGCCAGCTCCCCAAACCGGTGAGACGGAGTCCCAGCAAGCCTCAGCGTGGGCGCTCTCGGGCCCTCCAGCCCATCTCCTCCGACCCCACCCAGCCCAGACGCTCCTGCCTGCGCCACGTCTGTCTCACTTCGTACCCACCCAGTGCCTCATCAGTTGTAGTATCTGTAGTAAAATGGGTAGGAGGTTAGGGAGAGGCCAAAAAGGCCAGACTCAGATGCCACGGAGGTGTCCCGGGCCCAGAAAGACCCCTCCTAAGGAGAGCGTCTCTCCTGCAATGTGTTGAGTGCCTACTGTGGGCCAGACACTTGGCAGGTTCTTTGTAACCCCCGAAACAGTCTTGCAACAGAGAGAGAAATGAGAAGCAGCTTGTCCAAGGCTCCTTGAGGAGGGTGGTGGCCGAGCTGCCTTCTAGCCTTTTCTCCCCAAATGCTGCTGCTCGGAGAAGGGACGGAAAGACGGGGATGCTGCCCAGGTCCCTGGTGTCGGCCTCGTCCTGTTGGGCTGTCAGCTGCGGCCAAAGGGGAAGGCGAGGGCCAGACCCGGAGACAAAGGCCCACACTGCCCTGGCTCACCTCAGGGGACAAGGAGTTCCGGGAGGGAAGGGAGGAAGGGCAGGTAAGGGCCCTCTCTCGGGCCTCCTCCCAGAGCCGGTCCTGGCCCATCGGCAGCCCCCTAAGACGGTGGGGTGTTCGGGGGCCTGGGGACAGACTTGCTGGAGTCCCTTAGACCGGCCTCTTCTTGAATCCTGAGAAGTGAGGGTCAAGTGAGGTGGGGGGAGTCCCATGGCCTTCCCCCAAATTCTAGTATATTCCAGGGGGAGAAACTCCCCCCTTAGGTTTGAGAAAGAGTTCTTGAAGTCTTACCCTCTTGTCCCCGTTCTCTGGGAGAGCAGAGCCCCCTGGGGACAAAGAGTGGCACCCTCCTGTGTCAGAGGGCTGGGGCCAACCGCAGAGCCTGACTGGCGGAGTCCCGGCAGTGGTGGGCTCCAGACACCCGCCCCCCCAGCTCCCCCACACCGAGGGCTTCATCCCCGCCTCCTCTTGCAATGTCTCTCTGAGGACAGCGCTGGCACATGTGCCCCATTTCACAGATGGGGAAACTGAGGCCCTGAGAGGCTGGGTGGGGCCCTCAGGGCCAGAGCTCACTGTCAGGTAGGCTGGTACAGTCCTACCCAGCCCCCTTCCCAGGGTCAAGCTACAAGGTGACTGGGAGTTACGTGGGGGTGTTCTGGGTGCTGGGACCACTCACCCCAATAAGTCCCAACCTAAACCCCAGGCCAGCCTCATCACCCCATAATCAGCACTGGCTCGGGACCCACCTGGCGCCAGGTGCCTGGATAGCATCTTGTTTGTCCCCCAAACAGCCCTCGGTGTGGGAGCATCTGTCATGCCTGTGACTCAGGTGGGGAAACTGAGGTAAGGGGGAGGACATACATGCTGGTTTACCTACCTCCCCCACCACCACCACACACACACACACATATACTTGGTTCTCTGAATCCACGAAAGAACTCACTAAGTCACCTCCAAAGAAGAGACCAAGAAAAGTTGACATTTTCCATTCCCACCTGTCCATTTTTCCTTTCAGGAGTGTGATGTTATGTTCCTGGAGCGAAGTAAGAGGTGGTCACTGGAGATTCCTCCCTTTTCCTTTGACCGCTTGGCTAAATCCTTGTGGCCTTCCTGGAGGAGGAGTTGGGAAGGCTCAAGGTTCAGCCGATCTAAGTGGGGAGTCCGGCTGTCTCCCTGGCCTGGGCGGGTGTAGGGGGCCTTCCCATCCATACCTCCCAGCGCGGCTGTGCACCAAGTTACAGAGACACAGGGACAGGAATGAAGTCACGAAACGCTTGTCACACGACTTCAACCTGTAGCACAATCATTTTGATAAACGTGCTTATTTTTGATAATGTATTGGTCTACGGTTTCTCCCCCAAATCCCCTCACCCACACTCGGAACGCCGCTGGCTTCTCTCCAGCACCCTCTTCACAGAAGGGTCCGGCCTCCGCCAGACCCCCCCCCAGCTCCCTGCCCCTCCCCCTCACGCCTTCCAGGCTCTCTGCTGGGGCCGTCCATTAACTGTGAGTTCCAAGTTGTCTGCTGCCTAAACTGGACGTTGAAGTGCTGATGAAATATTCAAGGATCTCAACTCTCAAATTCCCTGGCGGCCCAGGGAGGGGCCTGGGGAAGATGGGACTAATGTAGGGACTAATGTGCAAGGCCGGGGGAAGTCCTGACGCCAGTCCCGCCGTGGTGGGGTTGGAACCTGGGGTTGGAGCCGCGCATTGGGGGGGTGGGGGGGAGGCCAGGGAGCCGGGGGAAGGGTTTCTGTGTGCAACCGATGGCTATGGCTCTGGGAGGCGCCTGCTCCGGCTTTAGAGGGTTTAGAGGCAGTGAAGGCAGGTGACTGATTCAGACCCCTGAGGGGAGCTGGAGGGGGGAGCTGGCGGGCAGGAGACAGAGCTTCGGGTCCCAGCCCAGCCAGGAACGTGCTTGTGTGGTTTTCAGGGCAGTGCATTCATCCCCTGACTCCAGTCTCTGTTTCCCCATGAATGCAAGGAAGGAGGCTGATTAGACTATTCCTTCTTTTTCTCCCCGAGGACCCTCGACGGGCGGGCGAAAAAAGACATTCCTGCCGTGAGCGCGCGCGTGCGCGCGTGCGCAGAGGGGGTGCCTCTCTGTGGCAAGGCCGCCTGTCAGGGCAGGCACCTCTCCTGGCTTGTGGGGGAGGGAGGGGCCGGCAGGCTGGCGGGGTGGGTGGGGCCCTGCAGTGTCAGCCTGTGCGTGGAGTTGCCCACGCCAGGAGCAGGAAAGGGGGTGGTGACTCAGGTGGGAAAGCCTCCCCTGTTCCCCCCTCACCCAGTCACTCAGGAGGGGGAGGGGTGCTCAGAGAGATGGGGAGACCCAGGACCGGAATGCAATCCTGATGTTTTCACCCCACCCCGTTGGGCTCCTGAGGTTCTGGAATGGCACCTGGGGGGCATGAGGGTGGGCCAGGGAGGGCAAACCCAGGACAGACCTTCCCTGGGGAGGTTCTGACCTTCCCCGGGCTGCTCCCGCTGCCAGCGCCAGCGCCTGGTATCTCGCCCTGGCCTGCGCTATTTCTGGCCTGCCCCTATCTCTGTTTTCTCGCTTCCCTGTTTTCCCGTCGACATTCCATCCCCGCC